CCCGCTGAGAAGATCCGGCGAGACACTCAGCGGGATGTTGCATGAGTTAGGTTGCACGTCGACCTCGTTGTGAGTTCGACGAGTACGGTTACCGGGGTCCCTAAGCCTGCTCCTAGTGTTAGAGCTGAAGAGTTCTACTGCAAAGCTTATTGGATCTGATGGATCCCTAAGGACGTGTCTAGGGCGTCGACGGTCACTGGCTCTTGCATGATCGGGAGTCGACGAGTAGTCAGCGGTGGCAACGATAAGGCGATTACGTGACAAAAAAATATTAAGCTACTCGCTCGTCAGGTATCATATGCTCATGGAATTCTGAAAATCGTCCCCGAACTGACAAAAATAACTGTACTTAATAGCAATCACAGACAGGATGTTGAAGAGTAGATAACGAACAAACATTCACATTTTATTTTATTTTATTTTTATTGCTTAGATGCGTGGACGAGCTCACAGCCCACCGGTCACAGCCCTCCTGATCTTAAGTGGTCGCTAGAGCCCAAAGACATCTACAACGTAAATGCGCCACCCACCTTGTGATATAAATTCTAAGGTCTCAAGTATAGTTACGTGGGCTGCCCTGCTCTTCAAACTGAAACGCATTACTGCTTCACGGCAGAAATAGGCAGGATAGTGATACCTCGGTGGGAGCACCCGCGGCGAAACCTCGTCGCGGTGCTGGGGCAGAACCTCTCTTTGCGGGCTGTCGTCGCCTGTATGGTAGAGGACCGGAGTTCGTGGGAGGCCATGGCCGGGTTCTGCGACTTGGTCATGGCGCTTCGTGAGGTTGCGGAGCGCGAAAGGGAATGGGATCTCTCTTCGGCTCCTCAGCGCAGAAGGCGGGGTGGACGGCGTGTGCGAGAGGCCGCCGCTCGGCCCTCGTAGGGACTATCGAGTGCCAGGTGCGGAGCCGCCCGGCACTCGACTGTTGGTCCGGTGTTGAAGCGGTACAAGGTGGCTCCTGTGCGCAGCTTATGGTGTGTCTCCCGAGATGACGTCCTTCGGGATTTTCCCGGAGGTGAGATCCCGTCTTACCATTAGTACGAGTACCGACGAAGTCGAGACTTTCGGCGCGCACTGCGGTACCGTAAGTTTCGTCTAGTCGGTGTGGTGGAGCTCGATGGGGTTTAGTCGGTAGTCGTTCTGCGGGGCAAGTGCTTCGCGCGCCTTTTTCAAGGCGTAGTCTCCTGTGAGAAATTGGGGGAGGTGAAGGACCTGGGCCCTTCTCTTCTCCTCGTTTTCCTCTCAGGAGGCGCCGGAGTCCGACATAACACGGCCCGTTACCCCCCTCGACCGGGAATCCGTAAATGGATTCCCCAGCGTTAAAAAAAAAAACGATTGTGATGCCTACCCGTGCGAGCTCGCACTTCACTCTACCACTAGCCAAGGTCTCTCTTATGAAGTCTTCTGTTATCAAAACATCAACTGGTACAACAGCCAAAATAGTATAGAGTAATGAAATCAAATGTAATAAAATTTAATTGATAAACCAAAATATGCCACCCACAGTTGTTGACATTCATCGAGAGACAGATCGAGAACAAATCTAAATAATGTTAATTACCCATGGAGGCGAATTAATTTAATCTAAACTTGGACGGAAAATTGTTAAATGCTGTTTACTTTACAGATAAACAAGTAATTATCTGTAGTGATTGAGACGACATAAGTGATTGTTTTAGAAAAATATGTTTTTGGTTATTAGTTTGACATTTACTTATTAGTCTAGACATTTAGTTAAATAAAATTTAATTATAAATTTTTTTACCACTTCAAGATGATCTATTAACTTGGAAAATTTGCCACAAGGACCTCAAAATAATCCTTTTGCCAAATTTATGACTTTGCCAAATTTTTTGGGCAGGATAAACAGAATATAAAAATATTTTTAGTTAGTTTTAGTCTATTAATATATAGCATGTTTTTATAATACAGTTTAAATGTATGTGTACACTAAACACATTTTGCTGGTTCGATACTTACTCCACGATTTTGTTCCTTCATCGTGGAAAACGTTCGTGGACAAGATCTCCTTAGAACAATTTGTATTTGCTTACGGGATATCAATAGACAAATTCCTTACACCTGATAAATTTGGCGTCTTATACGTGGCTTCCGACGATTTCATCTTGTTTATTTGTGCCGCCAAGAAATTTATAACACTTTCCGGTTCGAAGGGTTCGAAGAAGTAATAGGACTGCATTTGAATACGATATGTGTAAATAAAAACCTTTTTTTATGTAAAACCCTTCGAAACCGTATCTTTAAAAAAATTATCTATATATTAATAATACGTGAAGCAAAAACTTTGTATCCCTTTTTACGAAAATTGCGCGGAGAAGTATGAAATTTTCCGCACTTATAGAGAATATACAGAAGAAGTGCACAATGCTAATATTTTTTTAAAATATAACAGTGATTCTCAACCTTTTTTTTGTTGCGGCACATATTTAACGATTTCAAAATTTGGCGGCACACAAAGAAAAAGATAAAAATTATTTACTTACGCTACAACACGCTGCATAAATAGTTTATGACAAAAAAATTTAATATACGAAATAAACTAATATATACTACAATAATAACTAAACGTTTATTAAGGGATTAATTACAAGCTAATAATAAAAATATTTTTAATGCGAAGTTTGAGCTTGATGTTTTTTGATAATTTAATTTATATTTGGTCGTAAAAATGACAATGCTACTCTCATATCGTCTTCTACATTTAACAATCTTGATCTTTTTTTAGTTTTAATGTTGGTTAATTCTGAAAATCCGAATTCACACAAATAAGATGTGGAAAATTGTAATGTATGTTTAAAGCTTTTTTGGCTATCATTCCTATCCTATTCTATCATCCTATCACCTAACGTTATCATTATCACTATTATCATCATTAAACTTTCTTCTTTTTAACCATTTATCCATTTTCAGAAGGATCTGATAAAATAAAAATAATATTGTCGAAACATTTAAAAAAATTGGTTCAAATATTAACCTTTGAATTTATAATAATCTAAATTATGCACTCACTTGTAATTTATGAATATGGAAAATTAAACCTTTCTGAAAATGTGAATACAATTTTCAAATACAATTTTCCGTAGATAAAACTTAAATTTTATGCTAAGAAATACAGACACAGTGTGCGTGTGCAGCAAGTCAGCACATAAGCTCGGGATTCCCCGTGAGATGTGTACACAGCGCACGTGTTCAATCACAGTAGCATTTAGTAGAGTGCGATAAAAACAAAAAAAAAACTGATTTGGAAAACCGTGTAAAAGCAAAAACGTGTAAAACAAGTACCGTGTAAATCGGGGGATAGGTGTACTGCAAAGTTTTTTTTTTTTATTGTTTAGATGTGTCGACGAGCTCACAGCTCACCTGGTGTTAAGTGGTTACTGGAGCCCATAGACATCTACAACGTAAATGCGCCACACACCTTGAGATATAGTTTTAAGGTCTCAGTATAGTCACAACGGCTGCCCCACCTTCAAACCGAAACGCATTACTGCTTCACGGCAGAAATAGGCGGGGCGGTGGTACCTACCCGTGCGGACTCGCAAGAGGTCCTACCACCAGTAATTACGCAAATTATAATTTTGCGGGTTTGTCTTTTATTACACGATGTTATTCCTTCACCGTGGAAGTCAATCGTGAACATTTGTCGAGTACGTATTTCATTAGAAAAATTGGTACCCGCCAGCGGGATTCGAACACCGGTGCATCGCTCGATACGAATGCACCGGACGTCTTATCCTTTAGGCCACGACGAACTCAACTAGTTAACTTCCCTGGTGGCTCCTGATAACGATATCGAGGAAGCAGTTTCCTGTCCGTCTTAAAAAACAACATCTTCAACTTTTATGGGAAAATAATGGTCTATATAATAATATTGTTATGCTAGTACGGGTAACGCCATCTGTCGTTCAAGAGCAAGAACGGTTATCGAAACAACTTGAAACGTCTCTCAAATGTTCCAGTTGTATTGTATTTCTATTGACCCCGAGAATGTTCTCGACATATGCGAGTCTAAAACGTTCTGGTACGTGTGCTTAAACTTTAGTTTACTAATAACTCCACGGTGCCAGATGTATCAAAATTACCAATTTTTATGAACATAATATATAAAACAGTTTTATGTAGGAGATTCCATTACACACACAAACACATCCATGCTGACTTCATACAAAGCTAATATTTCGGTGTCGGCCGCATCGCTTCCCGAATACTATTCGGTGAGGCGGTGTAGCACATATAAGCACATTTACGCTACCTAGTAAAGTCGACGGCTTTATTATTGCCTTAGGGCAAGGTTAGAACAATAATAAAGCCGTCGACTAGGTAGGCAAGGCCTAGGTAGGCAAGGTAGGCAGCAGTCGACGGCTTTTGTTCCGCTTGTAGCTGCGGTTGGTACTAGCGGTTGGTACTAGCGGCTGGAGCTAGCGGCTAGTGCTGGTTGCTGGTGCTAGCGGCTGGTGCGAGCGGCTGGTACGAGCGGCTGGTGCGAGCGGCTGGTGCGAGCGGCTGGTACGAGCGGCTAGTGCTAGCGGCTGGTGCTAGCTGCTGGTGCTAGCGGCTGGTGCTAGCGGCTGGTGCTAGCGGCTGGTGCTAGCGGCTGGTACGAGCGGCTGGTACGAGCGGCTGGTGCTAGCGGCTGGTGCTAGCGGCTGGTGCTAGCGGCTGGTGCTAGCGGCTGGTGCTAGCGGCTGGTGTTAGCGGCTGGTGCTAGCGGCTGGTACAAGCGGCTAGTGCTAGTTGCTGGTGCTAGCGGCTGGGGCTAGCGGCTGGTGCTAGCGGCTGGTGCTAGTTGCTGGCGCTAGTTGCTGGTGCTAGTTGCTGGTGCTAGCGGCTGGTGCGAGCGGCTGGTGCTAGCGGCTGGTGCTAGTTGCTGGTGCTAGTTTCTGGTGCAAGCGGCTGGTGCTAGTTTCTGGTGCAAGCGGCTGGAGCGAGCGGCTGGTGCTAGTTTCTGGTGCAAGCGGCTGGTGCTAGTTTCTGGTGCAAGCGGCTGGAGCGAGCGGCTGGTGCTAGTTTCTGGATCAAGCGGCTGGTGCGAGCGGCTGGTGCTAGCGGCTGACGCTGCCGACTAGTGCTCGGGGGCGGGCCCGGTGACGCGGTCGGGGCGCGCGTCCCAGGCGGCGAGCAGCTCGGCGTCCACGGCGTCCAGGGTCCAGCGCTGCGTGTCGGCGGCGGCGTCGCACCGGCTGATGTGCAGCCGCAGCGTGGCCGGGTCGTGGTCCACGCAGTTCGAGTGTCCGCCGTGCTTTATCTGCTTCGTATCCTGGAACCAGTATTAAGTGGAAGACTCATTAGACACGTAGCGGCATCTGTTGCCCGCAAAATGTATGAAGCGGCCAAACAATGGAAATAAAAAATACATAACTTCACTTTAACTTCGTCTTACTTAATCTTACTTAATCTATAATAAACTCTGTATGCTCGATCTAGTTAATAATACTACTTATTGTAGTATTATGCCGTCAGATAACAAAAACAGATATTGAAGATATCGTTCTAGTTATAGAACGTTCTCGAATGTTCCAGTTGCATCGCGGGGAACGTCCTGGTAAATTGCAGGCAATCAACACGGCTATAGAAGCGTGACATGAAGAGAGGTTTATTCGAAGCGAAGCGACCACCGAATTACCTCAATAAAGCGAAGGAGTGACTTGTGATAATGAAGTAAAGATTTTCACTTATCCTGAGTTTTACTTATCACAATAATATATTTTAAAGCACTCATTGATCATTACTAGTTTATGGTGAGGACCACGAACCATAGCTACCATCGCTTTTTTTTTCTGCTGAGATCAATTTATCGTCTTAGGACATATTAATGCATTTGAGGGACATCAAGGTCCACACCACAAGTATCATTCTTGAATCATTCGTTAAAGACAAAAACAAATCGTGCCAGGTCCGAATGACGCCAGTCCCCGGTGGGGAGCGACCCCCCTACTCACCGGGTAGTACCTCCACAGCTGGTTCCCGCCCCCCAGGTGGCACGCGTACAACACTATGGGGCTCCCGGGGGACGAGTCCGGGAGGTCCCAGCACATGTTCCGCGTTTTACATCTGTTCATACAAAATACATTTAACTGTTTAGTTCACTTGGGAAATGTCTTATCCTTTACGGGTCGATTGGTAATGTTCTGGTTTGACGTATTATTCTAAATGATAAAAAATCTGAATTTATAAAATAAGTATTAGTGGCTTTGTTTGTTTGTTTGTTTACGACATTATGTGTTCATGCGACAATTCGATTTACATATTAAATGTTTTATTTTAAGTGTAGCTTTTCATTTGATACTTTCGAGTCACAACGTCACACTAGGCAATCGTCCGGGAAATATTCATAAATGTGGCAGTTTCACCGGCAAAAATAGAACCTTTAAAAAAATTTTCTATGCTATAGGTGTAAATATTTGTTTATTTTTGCTGTTAATTTTCGTTTTATATTTTACGTTCGAGTTACAACACACGCACACGCACACGTTACACGGAGCCATTGTCCGGGAAATCTATATATTAATACGGGAAGCAAAAACTTTGTACCCCTTGACTATGAAATTTTCCACACTTGTAGGAGTGCAGAATGCTAATCTTTTTTTTTAAATTGAGCATAAAATTACATTAAATTAATAAAAAAAAATTACACACACTACCATGTATTTGACACACACACGCGTGCATACTATTTGTTTATTGTCAAACTTTTCTTATTGCTTATAATCTGTGGTTAAATTGAGAATAGATTAAAATATATTGTTTGTCTTTAATAATATTTGTTATAGTAAAGTGTACATATTCTTGGCGAAATCTGTGATTATAGAATTATAATAGTCTTTTACAATAGAATCATAATAGTGTACAAACTATAATTTCAATTAATTATAGACGAATTTCGACTACCAGTAGACCACTCATGCCCTTTTCCCAGTCACCCGGGGTCAGCGCAACATATTTTCTCCTTCCATAGTTCTCTATCATATACCATTTCTTCGCTCACTCCCCTCTTACCCATATACGCACGTCACGCAATCTATCAATTTCTTCTTAGGTTTACCTCTTCCTCTATATCCTTCTACATTCATAGTTAACACTCTCTTACCAACCTCATTTTCATTTCGTCTCATCACATGTCCATACCATCCCAAACGCGCACCTCTCAGCGCACCTGTCACAGCTGCCACTTTCAGACTTCCTCTAATATATTCGTTCCGTATTCTATCCAAATTCAAATTCAAATTCAAAATTATTTATTTCAACTTAGATGTCAGTATGACACACTTGTTGAATGTCAAAATATAAATAACAATGTTAACTCTACCACCGGTTCCAAAAAAAGCCAGTCCTGAGAAGAACCGGCGAAACAAACACAGCGGGCTTTTTTTTGTTTTTTCTCAAATATTTTGTTTTTTTTTAAATAAATAAAGTTATTTACAATAAAGGAAAAAAAAGTCAAAAAATACAATTAAAAAATAATAATAATAATAATAATGAAAAATGAAAAGGCCAGGAGCGAACGCCTCATTCTCGTTACTCCACACATCCATCGCAACATTCGCATCTCTGCTGCATGCAATCGCCAGTGGACCACTAGTATTAATAAATGTGGGTAGTAGCGTCCGTTACCTGATATCTTTGTGCCAGGTGAGCACGAAGTGTTGCTCTGCGTTGGTGGTGACGTCACAGCGCGCGAGGCGCAGCGCGGCCAGCTGCGGGCCGTGCGCCGCGTCCGCACACAGCCCCCCCGCCCCCGCCGCCACCGCGCGGATCTGCGGCACCGGAGCGCACTTACGTCGTATTCAACTCAAAACTTTAGGCCGAAAACAGTGCTCGACCGACGGTACGTTCTGACCGTACGTCCTGACCGTCGGTTGCGAAAATGCATTCAGTGTTACGCTGACGGCGAACTGCGATGCGTATGTACAGTTCACAAGAAAAATGAATCCTTTATTGAATGAATGAATTCTTTACAAAATTCTGGACAAGCACTTATTTTAGCATCACGGTCTTTATAAAATCCCATAATGCCGGATGAAGACGCACTTCAGTAATAAGGCGCTATGTATCGATATTCAATTTTGCTTTAAGTGTACGTACGCGCGTACGGTCGGTCGCTCCGTCAGCAAAGCACATCCATACAATCTAATAGCGGACCGACGGCTCGACCGACCGCGCGCGGTACCGTCAGCGTAGCTGTGTGCGCATTCATAGACTTGCATAGATATAGCTACGCCGACCGTCGGTCGAGTACTGTTTCCAGCCTTAAGATAGTCGTCGTGGCCTAAAGGATAAGACGTCCGGTGCATTCGTATCGAGCGATGCACCGGTGTTCGAATCCCGCAGGCGGGTACCAATTTTTGTGATGAAATACGTACTCGACAAATGTTCACTGATTGACTTCCACAGTGAAGGAATAACAATCAAATGTAATAAAAATCAAACCCACTAAATTATGATTTTCGTAATTACGATAAGACCTCTTGTGAGTCCGCGCGGGTAGGTACCACCGGGTAGGTGACTGGTTCACATGTAAGAAGTTCTTCAGTGATAGATTTAATAGTGCTATTTTTCTGGCAATTCACTGTTTTTGTGAGTATGCGTGTGTTTGTCCGCGTGGGTAGGTACCACCACCCTGCCTATTTCTGCCGTAAAGCAGTAATGCGTTTCGGTTTGAGGGGTAGGGCAGCCGTTGTAACTATACTGAGACCTTAGAACTTGTATCTCAAGGCGGGTGGCGCATTTACGTCGTAAATGTCTATGGGCTCCGGTAACCACTTAACACGAGGTGGGCTGTGAGCTCGTTCACCCAACTAAGAAATAAAGAAAAAAAAACGTGGTCCGCACGGGTGACGACGACGGTCCAGTCGTGTGCTTTCAAAGATTCCAAAAATGGTACCACAAGGAATAAACGGGAAAATAACGCTATCCCGCTCGCACGCAGCAGCCATTACAAAAACGGCAAAAAATGTAAAAAAATTGCCAGTTGTAAAAATATTTATTTTAAAAACAAACAAGATCCCTAGTATGCCATCTGTGTGGATTCTACTATACCATACCATACAGATTGCTAATTTGTTTGAACAAATTTGATGTTTATTTGATATTGAGTAGCCACGATCGTCCATGGACATCAGCGATAACAGGGGCACTGTCACACCACCGCTTACTAAGCGGACTGACTTTTGCTTGTTTTATATTTGTTCAATCAAGCAAAAACTACACTTACTTAACTTTGAGGATGCATTTTATATTCCAAAATCCATATTTAAAGGTAAAAGCTTTTCATCGCATTATAATAAAGCTCGTCTGTTTCCGACTGTACAGTACGTGAGTTCAGCCTTTAGAAAGGATTTATTAACAGACTTAGTTACTTATTAACTACTTATCAACAGACTATAGTACCTTACTAAACAATGTCAATCAATAGTTTTCAAGAGAGTTGTAGTAAGCAAATCTCTTACCTTTCCCTCGGCAAAAGGCTTAGGCTCCACAGGCGGATACTTCGCCGTCAAATCAAACGCTATCTGGAATATTAACAATTAAACAACAAGTTTATCTTATCTATGGAATTCTAAATAAATGTTTGATTATTGGACTTTTTGGCGGGAACGCGAGGAATGAAATTGTGCGATTTGTTTTATTTTGTCTATTTAGCGTTTCTTCAGGTTTAAATGTGTAATAGCGGTGGTTTATTAACTATTTAGTATCTGTGAAAATGCACAAATGTGGGAAAATAAAACAAAGCCGCTGGACGTAACTTCTCGGGATCCTCCAAAAAGTTCACTGAAAAAATCTCAGTCAATGACCACCATTTTACTAACATTATATTTCATCCCATATCATCTCATCTCATTTCATTTAATTTCATCCCAGTTAATTAATGTCTCAAGTTAATCATCTTCATTTCATTTCATTTCACTTCATATTATCATTTTTCATAAAAATAAAAATATAAANCTGGACGTAACTTCTCGGGATCCTCCAAAAAGTTCACTGAAAAAATCTCAGTCAATGACCACCATTTTACTAACATTATATTTCATCCCATATCATCTCATCTCATTTCATTTAATTTCATCCCAGTTAATTAATGTCTCAAGTTAATCATCTTCATTTCATTTCATTTCACTTCATATTATCATTTTTCATAAAAATATAAATATAAATTAAAATGAGACATGACTTAAAGGTCTTAGTTACCAGGTCACAAACTCCCTTAAATAAAAAAATTCATTATTTAATATTATGTAATTTATGCGATCTTGATATGGAAGGTAGCAATAAAGAGCACCATCTTGTATAAAGGGACAAGTGTCCATTTGTAAACAGCAAGTTATTGTTGGAAGATTTACCAAAATAGCGCTAGCGTAGGAAGTGGAAATGGTAACGAGGGTTTTTTTATTGCTTAGATGAGTGGACGAGCTCACAGCCCACCTGTTGTTAAGTGGTTTCTAGAGCCCATAGACATCTACAACGTAAATGCGCTACCCAACTTGAGATATACATTCTAAGGTCTCAATAAAGTTACAACGGCTGCGCCGTAATTAAAGTTCAAAACTTGCACTACCATTTCCCTACATCGGTCAAAGGAATCCTTTTAAGTTTATTTTATACAAAATTTTAAGTTTTTTATTTATCGATTGAGGCACTACGCGAAGTCTGCCGGGTCAGCTAGTCTACACAAATATACAAATCTACAGTGGTTTTTACGGATGTTCCGTTATAGCTACTGAACCATGCATCCTTGGAGACAGACTTGCATGCAGACTTGAAACTTGGTATCAATGTATAAAATACATGTACTTAATGGATAGGCTAATATTTATATGAGTTTTGGACTTCCTACACCAGTTGCGGGGGCGTTAATGATGAGAATCTTTGTGGGGGTGAGAAATAATCATGTTAATTTTAAATGCCCAGCGAAGCGGGCGGATACAGCTAGTAAACAATCCGGTCATCGTTCTCGTGTGAACCCGTCGCTTGCGACGAAGGGCTCGACGAGTAAATTAACCCACAGACACAGCCCACTGAGTTTCTCGCCGGATCTTCTCAATAGGTCGCGTTTCCGACCCGGTGGTAGAATCTGCGAGGCACGGCTCTTGCTAGGGTTCGTGTTAGCAACGTCATCAGGTTTGAGCCCCGTGAGCTCACCTACTAGTTAAGGCGACGCTGATATAGCCTCTCAAGGCTATCAGCTTAGGTAGGATAAAAAAAAAAGTAAACAATATAGAGCTGTGTCCCACCTGAGTCATGAACCACTTGAAGGGCTTACAGTTGAGCTTCTCCCGGAGGCGCTTCTGCGGCGCGAGGTCCCCGGGGTCGATGCGGCGGTAGTGCGGGCGGCGCCGGTACAGGTGCTCCGCGTACTCGTCCATCCACACCTCGGCCACCCGCCGGTAGTTCTGGGGACGGGGAGCGCGCGACGTCATAGATAAAAAAAAAATTAAGGAATTTTGCGACCTAAGACCTTTAGGTCAAGTGTTATTTTAATTTATATTTTTATGAAAAAATATAATATGGAGTGAAATGAAATGAGATGAGATGATATGGGATGAAATATAATCTCAGTAAAATGGTGGCTATTTACTATTGAGACTTTTTCAGTGGGCTTTTTGGAGGATCCCGAGAAGTTACGTCCAGCGGCTTTGTTTCATTATCACACATTTGTGCACTGATATTAAACAGTTAATAAACCACCGTTATTACACATTTAAACCTAAAGAAATACTAAATAGACAACTAAGTTCACTCCTCGCGTTCCTGTGTCTTCATAGATAATACACATAAATTAGTTATAGATAAGCAACTTGAGCACTCGACAAAAAATTTTACGGATGTCGGCCGCTAGATGGCTTCGCTTAGTTTCCATTGCTCCTGTAGATGGCCGTAACATATTACTTATCCTAATATTATTTTTGATGAAGGATTGAAGATGAGGACGTGACGTCACGTACCTTTCCCACGAAGTCTCCGTGCCCGGGGTTCGGGAACGGCGCGAACTTCCGGTAAATGTGACCCACTCGGGAGCACGGCGCGTCCAGCATCCGACCTCCGCATTGCCATATCTGAAAATAAAAGAATGAAAAAGGATCAGTCATCAGGATTGACAGCTGGGCCCTGTCCGGTGCCGCCGGGAAGTAATTACCCGCTAGGGTTGGCGGGTTCGCGACTCTATTTAAATGAGCCAAGAAATACGCAGGCTTTCGCCCTACGCCCTACCTATGTTAATGCAAGTGGCTGTGCCAATATTGATATTTAAAATACGGTGTCACAATGTTTGTCCGCGATAAGCTTTTGAACTAATGAACCGATTTTAATGAAACTTCGCACACTGTGTGTAGTTTGGTTCTATTTGAGAGATAATAGTTTTTATTTCAATTTACAATATCAACTTTTTTATTGTAAATTATTTAATGTATGAAAAAAGGTTTTTGTTATCTCTAAGCCTTATAGCTTTCTAACAAATATCGGTGCAAGTTAGCTTATCGAGATCATATTTACGGTCCGGATAGATGAGTATCTAGTACTATCTATCTAATAGGTGGCGCTGTATTGAAAATCTAAACGTATCATTTATGCTACAATTTTTATAATATGTTACATTAACATTAAATATTTGTCCTCAATGTGTTTCTGAATCATTGATCCGATTATGACAAAACTTAGTACAGTCGTAGTGGCGTTCTATTTGTGTCATAATACCATCTCCATACAACAGATGGCGTGGTAATAATGATCAGAAATCTACGTTTTCCATACAATTAACCATAGGCACAGCGGAACGTGAACGAGTTTACTGGTTGCAAAGATATTATAAGGCTCATATTTTATCCTCCTAAAAAATACTTAATTACCTGGAAAACTCTAAGCATGAACCGATTTCACATCTCGCTCAAACTTTGAAATGTCAATGACATGCGGCGACCACGCCATCCCCGGTCCTGTTAAAGCAATAAATGACGAAGCACACAGACCTTAAAGCTGAGTTCGTATTGTTCCCCGCCCCATATGTCTAGGCCCGGGTCGTAGCCGCCCAGCTCCCAGAAGAATGCACGCGATATCGCGAACAGACCGCCCGCCATCACGGGGCTCCTGAAACAGTACAGGTTCCTTTAAGATGGGGCGCCCGGTGTACTCGTACTGAGCAGGGGCGTAGCGAGGGGGACAGGGGGGGCATTGTGCCCGGGCGCTACTCACAAAGGGGCGCCAAAGGATTTTGGAAAATATTTTTTAAATTTAGTACCAGGGTAATATAATAAATGTTAGTTGGTAAATAAAAAGGAACACTAATAGTCTAAACAGGGGCGCTACAACGGTATTGTGCCCCGGACGCAAGTAAAGCTACGCCACTAGTAACGAGCGATGCGGGGGTCGAAACCCGCAAAAATCATAATTTGCGTAATTAATGGTGGTAATGAGCCTTTTGAGCCCGTAAGGGTAGGCACTGGTACCCTACCTATTTCGTAGGTGAAGCAGTAATGGCTTCGTAGGACAGCAACTACAGTTATAACTTGAGTTATAACATGACTTCTAAGTTTCAAATGTATACCAATACTAATACTGATACTGATACAATTTTATTAGTATACCACTCAAACAAAGACCTCGTATCGCAAGGAGGGTGGCGAGTGGCGACATTCACTTGCTATCTATGGGCTCCGGAATCACTTAACACCGTGTACGCTGTGAGCTCATTCACCTGAGTAGACAATTTTAAAAAGGTGTCCACCATGAAAAAAACTACTAAATTAGTACGATGCATTTGAATTTTAAATATTGATAAGTAAAAAGAGTGTCTACGTTAGTAAGGTATGATATAAAATACAGATAATAAAAATCCAAAGATACACTCACTCGAAGGGCTCGGGCATATTCTTTTCGTCCTTAGGGAGGACGGGAAGCCTTTTGTAGAAGAACTCCCAATCGAAAGCTCCCCTGGCACCTTCGTCCTGAGCCCTGTACTCGAAGGTATCGAACGCTATCACGTCAATGAAGGGACACATCACGGTCCTGTAGTCCAGGGCTATGGGTTCTGGTGAGGAAATGAGGTTATGACTTTTTTTTTTTATTGCTTAGATGGGTGGACGAGCTCACAGCTCACCTGGTATTAAGTGGTTACTGGAGCCCATAGACATCTACAACGTAAATGCGCCACCCACCTTGAGATATAAGTTCTAAAGATCTCAGTATAGTTACAACGGCTGCCCTACCCTTCAGACCGAAACGCATTACTGCTTCACGGCAAAAATAGGTAAGGCGGTGTTACCTACCCGCGCGGACTATAAGAGGTCCTACCACCAGTAAAAATTATAACCCTGGAAAGAAGGTTTAGCTGGTTATTGTAGGACGATTCTGTTAACAGCACGCTTTTTAATTCAAGGAGCAATGAGGATGTCAGCTCAAAATTTCAAGAAATTCCACAAACAAAAAGACATTGGTCATTGTTATTTTTGTATCAAAATCAGCAAAGCCTATACGACGTTTTTTCCCCTACCTAATCGCTGCTATCGAGAAACTTGTTGTTCAGGGTAGGGTCAATGGTAAGAGATCTCGTGGACGAATCCGCATGCGTTGAACTGATCAAGTGAAAGACCTTACTGAAACCCCACTTAACGAGTGTGTGCGCCGGGCCTCGGTTCGCAAACTGTGGAAAACATCTGTCAAGGTTTTAATGAGCAAGAATTCCACATGACTACGACTGCTCTGCCAGGAGCAACCGATTATGATGATGAATCGCTGGTAGCCTAAGATGCTATTGCAGCTACGCCCGGACGGGTAGGTGAGCTCACGGGCTCAACCTGAGAGAATTCGCTAACACTAGCCCTAGCGAGAGCAGTGACCGGTGCTTGAGGGTACTAAAAGCACCGGACTCCGGGGGATCTGACAAGACATGTTTCAGAAGACAAGTTGCCCCGTCGCGGTCGAATAAGTAATCTACCACTTAATACTACCAGTCAGCCATTTTGTGTTGTATATAAAAAAAAAGAAAATACAAAAAAGATTAAAAAAAAACTAATATTAAAAAAAAAAAACAAAACGCCCGCTGAGTTTCTTGCCAGTTCTTCTCAGGACGGAGGCTAATTTTTGTGAATTGGCGGTAGTTCTTTTTGACGTTCAACAAGTATGTGCTTTCATTTATGTTGATTTTTTTTTATTTGATTTGATTTATAAACCCAAATTCTTTTCTATTAACTTAGAAAGAATCCAAGGCGCACATAAAATGAGAAATGAATACATACACAGACCTAGCAGGGGCGGGAGCCAGTTGACGTTGGCCTCCGTGTGAGAGTCGAGGAAGATCAGGACGTCTGCCGTCGCTCGCTCTGCGCCCGCCAGCCGAGCCGTGATCAGTCCACTGCGTTTCGGCAGTCTGATCACTTTCACTTTAGGCATGTTCCCCTCTAGGTATTCATCTAATGCTTTCCCTAGAAAATCTGTGGAAATAACGTCTGATTTTAACTCGAGCTGCATAACCCTCTTAATAACCTATAACGAATTGGTAAAGTCAACTAAATTGCATATTTTTACATATAAATTAGCGATGTTTATAAAAATGATCAAAGGCATTCTCCATGTTAATAGTAGATTAATGTTAATAGTAATTAATAGTAGATACTGGTGGTAGGACCACTTGTGAATCCGCGCGGGTAGGTACCCTACCTATTTCTGCCGTGAAGCAGTAATGCGTTTCGGTTTAAAGGGTGGGGCAACCGTTGTAACTATACTTGAGACCTTGGAACTTGTATCTCAAGGTGGGTGGCGCATTTATGTTGTAGATGTCTATGGGCTTCAGTAACCGCTTAACACTAGGTGGGCTGTGAGCTCGGCCACTCATCTAAGCAATAAAAAAAATTAAAAAAAGATTAGGTATTGTAATTGTTTAATGTTTAATGTGATTTCCTTTGTGACTGTGATTTATTGTTACTTCCTTACATTAAAAGTTAGATTAGTTTTCGTTATCTGGCTGTGTTATCCTATAGTTGTAAGGAGCATTGTGTACTTAACACATTTGTCCTGATTAGTTGTGGGCGCATAGCTTTTGTTAAGAGCCAAAAATTTTACTTGTAGCTATATATTGTGTATCTTTTCTTTTTTAGCTTGTAATGTGTATTGTGTGCCTAATAAATAAGAAATAGATAAAAAATCATCTATTCCCAGCCAAATTCTACACAGCCCCATTACATATTCGCCCTAACTTGTCCGATAGATTTGCAGTGTAAGATCGCACCGAAAATACACAGTTGGAATCCACCTCCTTCTCTTTGCATCGTATTCCTCAGAGTACTGAGGGTCTTTACGGAACATTTTCGTTTCAACCACTTAAAGTAACACAAAACAAATGCGCATCCACTTTTCACCTCTAATCTACGTCATCAGACCTACACGGGGCTTTAAACATCATTCAGTCAGAAAACCGGCTATGGAATGAGCTCCCCTCCACGGTGTTTCCCGAGCGCTATGACATGTCCTTCTTCAAACGAGGCTTATGGAGAGTATTAAGCAGTAGGCAGCGGCTTGGCTCTGCTCCTGGCATTGCTGAAGTCCATGGGCGACGGTAACCACTTACCATCAGGTGGGCCGTACGCTCGTCTGCCCACAAAGGCAATAAAAAAATAAAAATAAAAAACCCATCTCGTAGCTTCCGGTAGAAAAGTTCCATGATACTTTTGACAGACATTATCATTTTGATTAGGACTAAATTCAAAGGAATGACTTCATTCGTAAACAATTACAAGAACAAGATACGTTTGCACGTTTATTGACTTTAGATTTACAATCAGATAATTAGGTCATTAAGTAATTTGAATTATTTTTCCATGATCACGTAATTTTAATATATTAGTGCAGAAGGCCTGATAAGAACCAAAATGTTATATGACGACGGAACACGCACAATCTACCTCCACGATCCACATCATTGATCAGCTGTTAGATATTGATAACGCGACAATCTTCAATCAAAAGTAACGCCATTAACAAAGTCATGTTTTTTTTTTTATTGCTTAGATGTGTGGACGAGCTCACAGCCCACCTGATGTTAAGTGGTTACTGGAGCCCATAGACATCTAAACGTAAATGCGCCACACACCTTGAGATATAGTTCTAAGGTCTCAGTATAGTCACAACGGCTTCCCCACCCTTCAAACCGAAACGCATTACTGCTTCACGGCAGGAATAGGCGCCCGTGCGGACTCACAAGAGGTCCTACCACCAGTAATTACGCAAATTATAATTTTGCGGGTTTGATTTTTATTGCACGATGTTATTCCTTCACCGTGGAAGTCAATCGTGAACATTTGTTGAGTACGTATTTCATTAGAAAAATTGGTACCCGCCAGCGGGATTCGAACACCGGTGTATCGCTCGATACGAATGCACCGGACGTTTTATCCTTTAGGCCACGACGACTTCAGATGACCCTCAACAATAATAAACCGACTCGGAAAGATGTCGCAATGATGCGTGAATTGCTGTTTTAAATACCGTCTTTGTTGATAAGTTCCATACATAAATCTAGAGCTTAGCGTATCAGGGTGACCATGATATCCAACCTTTAAAACTTAACCTACGTAATTATTTCTAAGATATTATACATATAAACAAGCGAACATTAGAGATAAGGTTTCTTATAAGAAGAAACACTGCACTGTAAATGTGAAATCATCAAATTTATTCAATCTCAATCTCTCGTAGGTTAAATTCTATAGATTACTTTTTGTCTCTCTTTAGTGTCGCTTTTTGAGGGTCATCACCATTTGGAGTTTCAAATCACAACCATGCTAAAAAAGTTTTTACTTCAATTGATTTAAATATAATCCGGATATAGATACCCTAATAAAGTATAGAAAAAACTACACACAATTTCTTATTAAAACGATTTTCCAAGAAGTAAATCCAAGCCTAGGTTTTTTTTTTCGTACCTAAGCTGTTGGTCTAGAGAGACCATTTCAGCGTAACCTTAACTAGTAGGTGAGCTCACGGGGCTCAAATCTGACGATGTTGCTAACACGAACCCTAGCAAGAGCCGTGCTTCGCAGAATCTACCACCGGATCGGAAACGCGACCCACTGAGAAGATCTGGCGAGAAACTCAGTGGGCTGTGTGTGTGGGTTAATTTACTCGTCGAGCTCTTCGTCACAAGCGACGGGTTCGACGAAGACGATGACCGGTGCTTGGGGTACCTAAAAGCACCGTTAGTGGATCGGGAGGATCCAAAATGACGTGTTTTGGGCGACGTCAACTGTTAACCATTTGGTCCGCAGGATCGGCTATATAGTTTCCGGCGGCCACGATGAAGTGGCGCATTGGTGCCGACTGTAGGTACTTACTGATGGACTCTAGGTCCAGGTCGTCGTGCAGGTCGATGTTCCTGACGAACCACGGGGCACGCCTACGTTTCTGATACTATTACTATATACCAAAATCTGGTCTTATTCACACAAATTAAGTATTACTGTAATAATAGGTCTAAGAGAAGTATATAAACTCAATTTTGCCATTCCACGTAATTGTAATGTTTTACTTATTATTTGTAATGCTGTTCTCCTGTAGACTAGATCTCCTTTAGACAGCTTATAATCAATAGCTCAACTTCAAGTGACTTGTTTTTTTTTTTATTACTTAGATGGCTGGACGAACTCACAGCCCACCTGGTGTTAAGTGGTTACTAGAGCCCATAGACATCAACAACGTAAATGCGCCACCAACCTTGAGATATAAGTTCTAAGATCTCAAGTATAGTTACAACGGCTGCCCCATCCTTCAAACCGTAACGCATTATTGCTTCATGGCAGAAATAGGCAGTGTGGTGGTACCTACCGGCGCAGACAAACACGCATATTCACAAAAACAGTGAATTGCCAGAAAAACAGCGCTATTACATAATCTATCATTGAGGGACTTCTTATATGTGAACATAGTCACCAGTGTTAGTACATCAAATACACCTGTACACATAATGTTAAATTACATGTGTAAAATAAAATTAACTGACTTTAATATTCGGCTTTAATATTATATTTAATATTGATTATATATTTATTTTAACAGCAGTGGACTGTCTGTGTGACAACAATCTTCAAAATAGACTAGTAAAAAACAAATGTACATTTTGAAGAAAAATGGCTTTAACTTATTGTCAAAATTAAATGTATATAATCCTCCCAGAATTTCTCAGTCAGTCAGAAGCTCAGTCAACACAAAACATGCACACACACACATCTGCTAAAACCAGTAACCATGAATTAAAAATGAGTTTACCTTTGGTACTAGCATCATCCACCAAAAAGATCTCCTTAATGAGATGCTCTGGTGATCTGTACAGCACGCTATATGCTGTCCTCAACAACGTACTCCAGTGCTCATTGTGAAACGGTACAACCACACTGACGCTCGGCAAAGATTCTATATCCTTTTTTTTTTTACATCCTGAATGTCTTATGTCTGGCAATGAACGGTTCAATGGTATTTTATCACTTAGAGCACCATTGAAACCATTCACTGAATACAATGATTCTTCTAAATCTGATTCTTCTTTTGGTAAATGCGCTGGGAGACCTTGTTCACCAATACCTTTAAAAATGTATCATTGCAAATTACACAACCTGTTTATCTCTTTGTGAACACTGGCGAGATAAATTATTTCTTTTGATTGCAAATAGCTATTTAATAAACATCTATTTAAAAAATATAGGAAAAAAGACAATATTGATGTTAGCTTAAAGTGTTATCTTTATGATATCATAATTATCACAATTCATTACAATCAAGCATACTACAATGGCCAAAGAACTTTATAGAAAGATTGTTGTTATTCTTTTTAACAACATTTTAATGTGTTAAGCACCTTGTATTGTTGTTATTAATAATCAACACTTCTTAGACAATCGCAGTCTTAACATACTCATCTAGCCAAGCTACGCTGACGCAGTTGGCTTGGCAATCAACAAAAAAAGTATTCACAAAAGTTATAATACTCACCCACACGTTTCCTCTCACTGCTTATCTGTTCATAGTTATGCCAGTCTATTTTCTGTAAAACAAAAATACATATTAAGTTGTCAAGCTTGCAGCTCTATTACTTGAAAAGGGCTGAACTGATTTTTCAAATATTCTTTCATAACCGCTATATAGTCTGTCCAAGGTTTTTCGGAATTAATGATGACAATTAGAAAATTCCGAAAATGGAAAAAAGTTTGTTTCTGGGACTTTGGAAATATCAAACTATTTTCTTTATTGCCTTTCTTAATTGGAAACAGTCAGTTCATTCCAGATTTCATGGGCACTATTATGCTTTTACTTGTTACATAAATTCATTCCATATTAAATGACAGAGATAGATAAATCACAATTTAATGAAAATTGAACTTTACCTTCAAACTCTTTGGTACAAAATGGTTCTCTTTATTAACAGCCTTGTTCAAATCGGGTGGAGCATGTAGTACAGCAGTATCATGATTCATCAGCTCATCTGAGTGAGCTAAAGCTTCTCTTCTAACAATTAGCTTATCAGACTCAGAATAACTCAATGACTTTACTAAATATAACACGATGACTAGTAACGTTACAAATACAAGATTTCGCAGCCTCAATAAACGAAACAAACTGCGTCGCAACATCATTAATTGACTTTTCTGAAAGTTAAGAAAGTAATAATTAAAATTTCGATTTAAACTTCAAATTTAAATGTTGTGATAAGAGCAAGCTATCAGTGAACAGTATAATTAAAGCAATGATTTTTTTAAGCATTTTTTCATGAATTCTGGTTTTCCTTTAGATAATTTTAGTGGGAAAAAGTTTAATGCATACAAATTTGTCTGAGTGTAAAACCACATCAGTAGTGATAACAATATTTTTAACTGTGTATTAAATTAAGGTTTATATCATCATACGAAAATTCAATCAGCGAATAGCGCACAGCCTATAAATTATAATTATAATGAAAACCACGATTAATTTACCTTTAAAAGTGAAAACTTTAGTAACTTCCCAATCTAAGATATTGTCTTCTTATTCACAAATATCTGTAATTTATGTTGATTTAAAAAACGAAAACACCTTATTCGGCAAAACTAAAAAAATTGGACTAACACAAAAGTTGCAAAACAGGATTTTAATCATCATTCACAATTCAACACATTTGTCACATTGTACTTTGTTATATATTATGTAGGTAGTACATGAGTAAAAATTATGATACAAGGAATTCAGAGTTAGAGTACTATTATGTAAACCATTTAGGCGTATTTGTATCAATTTGTGTTGATCTACTTGAATTAAACCAAAACAAACTTTGACAATAACTTACTTTTTCCCAATGCCACTGTCGTTTAGTTCGTACGCCAGTACCTACCTACGTAGTACCTAATAATCTGCACTCTGCAGTTTATGTTATTGTAATCTATGATAGTAGTCCAAGATCCCAGGGCCACCAGGCGTCACGTATTTTCTAACGAACGAAAAACTTATTAACTCCATGAATGTGGCCAATTGCGTAGTGTTAGTGGCCGTTTTCCAATTACAGCACAAGAGCGCATTATACGGCATAATGCTCTACTAAGCTTCAGCATAATTCGGCATTGTGCGTCCCAGAGTCGCATTATGCTCTGTAATTGGAAAACTACCATTAAGTAATGCTATGCTCTGTAATTATGCTCTGTAATTGGAAAACTACCATTATGTAATGCTATGCTCTGTAATTATGCTCTGTAATTGGAAAACTACCATTAAGTAATGGTTAATTACAGAGCATAATGCGACTCAGTGACGCACAATGCCGAATTATGCTGAAGCTTAGTTGAGCATTATACCGCATAATACGCTCTTGTGCTATAATTGGAAAACGGCTAGTATGTACTACGAACGCATGCCTACCTGCTAGCTTGGTTAGACGGCCAATTTTCAGGTATCATGTAATCAAGGTACATAAAATCATTACGTACTTCACGTAAATTCTGAAAGCTGATTTTTACGTATATTATAAGCAATATCATTAAAAATAAGTCGCCAGTACTCCCAGACACTTTCCGTCGGCCGAATTGCTTTGCAGACGCTTTAAAGCTCCCAAAATAATTACCTAACTTCACGTATATTCTGAAAGCTGATTGTTACTTATGTCCACCAGACAACTATTTTAAAACCTCTTACAAAAAGATAGACCGATCCAAGGGGCCAATCATCTCCTAAATTCAATTTAATACCTCTGTGGATAAGAGCGCGAGGGCATTATCCACGCATGAGACTGAGAGAGATGTATAAGGATATATCTTCTCTGTCTCTCGGTCTCTTACTTACTTAAAACCGGTTGAAAATGTTCTGACAACTGCCCCGCGAATAAAATTCTTATAGACGAGCCGTTTGGATTCCGCGCCAGACACTCGTGCGCCCATCAAGTGCACCGCCTCACGGAGCATATCTTACTAGGGCTGAACAGGCGGAAACCCATTCCGACAGGAGCCCTCTTCTTCGATATAGCGAAGGCGTTCGACAAAGTCTGGCACAACGGTTTGTATATAACAAACTGTATAACATGGGAGTGCCAGACAGGCTCGTGCTCATCATACGAGACTACTTGTCGAACCGTTCGTTCCGATATCGAGTCGAGGGAACGCGTTCCCGGCCCCGTCACGTCACAGCCGGAGTCCCGCAAGGCTCCGCCCTCTCCCCGTTACTATTCAGTTTGTATATCAATGATATACCCCGGTCTCCGGAGACCCATCTGGCGCTCTTCGCCGATGACACCGCCATCTACTACTCGTGTAGGAAGAAGGCGTTGCTTCATCGACGACTTCAGACCGCAGCTACCACCATGGGACAGTGGTTCCGGAAGTGGCGCATCGACATTAACCCCACGAAAAGCACAGCGGTGCTCTTCAAAAGGGGTCGCCCTCCGAACACCACGCTGAGCATCCCTCTCCCGACTAGGCGCGTCAACACCCCCGCCCCCGCCGTTCGCCCAATCACGATGTTCGACCAGCCCATACCGTGGGCCCCGAAGGTCAAATATTTAGGCGTCACCCTCGACAGTAGGATGACATTCCGCCCCCACATCAAGACGGTACGCGATCGTGCCGCCTTCATCCTAGGACGTCTCTACCCGATGATATGTAGGCGAAGTAAAATGTCCCTTAGAAATAAGGTGACACTCTACAAAACTTGCATACGCCCCGTCATGACCTATGCAAGTGTAGTGTTCGCTCACGCGGCCCGCATACACTTAAAATCCTTTCAAATTATTCAATCCCGTTTTTGCAGGATAGCCGTCGGAGCCCCGTGGTTCGTCAGGAACGTCGACCTCCATGACGACCTGGACTTAGAGTCCATCAGTAAGTATCTGCAGTCGGCGTCCATGCGCCACTTCGATAAAGCGGCACGACACGAGAACCCTCTCATCGTGGCCGCCGGTAACTACATTCCCGATCCTGCGGACAGAATGGAAAGCAGTCGACGTCGCCCAAAACACGTCATCTCGGATCCTCCCGATCCACTAACGGTGCTTTTAGGTACTTCAAGCACCGGTCACCGTTCTCGTCGAACCCGTCGCTTGCGACGAAGGGCTCGACGAGTAAATTAACTCTCAGACACAGCCCACTGAGTTTCTCGCCGGATCTTCTCAGTGGGTCGCGTTTCCGATCCGGTGGTAGATTCTGCGAAGCACGACTCTTGCTAGGGTTCGTGTTAGCAACATCGTCAGGTTTGAGCCCCGTGAGCTCACCTACTAAAGTTAGGGTTACGCTGAAATAGCCGCTAGGGCTATCAGCTTAGGTAGGAAAAAAAAAAAAAAAAAAAAAAAAAAAAACTGACAATTTGTTTTTGTTACAAGGAAATTACATCAGAACAAACAGAATGCTATATCGAAACCTCTTGATTTTCAATGTACATTTCTTTTCCCTAGCTTGTTTTCATGAGGAACATTTAGAATACTGACGAAAATTAATTAATAACCTTAGATGCACCTTAAACACCTGTTTTTGTTCTTAGAAAATAAATCTCTGATACGATCGTAACTTTGCCGTTAAATTTAAAATATCATTTTTTCGAACTATGGAACAAATTGGTGCAATCTACTGTTGACCAACTAGCTGATCAACCTTTAGCAGTTTTTAATTTCGGAAATTCATTTTACTATTAAGTACGATAGACAGGTTTTGAAAATAATTTATTTAGCTGCAATTTTATTAAAAAAGTTATATTTAGTGATGCCTCATACAAATTGCACTTTATTGGCATTGAATTTTCGATTATTCTACGGTGGCCAATATGTTTTGTTGAACAAGAATCTCTCGTAATTTTATTTTGGAATGTCTGCTTAGTGTTTTTATAAATGTTTCGTTTCATGTAGTAAAAATATCCAAAACTAGACATGATGGTACCGTAAAATGGGGTAAATAGGGACAAAATTGAACTTCAGATTGAATTTTAAAATAGTTCCAATTAAATAGTCACTGCTCAACCAAAGAAATAAGTTGAGTCTTGAACGTACCTAGGTGATAAAAACCGTTACATTATTTTAATTATTCAATTTAAAGAAATAATCGGAAAAATAATGGCCATCCCAATTTGCCCCGCTTTCGGGATAAATTGACACGAGTAAGGGTTAAATTGGGATATTTGTAAGGGTTGTCAGTTCGCGGTACTGCGATATCTATGTAAGTGGGTAGGTGCCATACAATTATTAAGTAAGATATCAGGTGAATATGATAAAAAGCAGATTTATCTGATTACTGCCTATAATAACAAAAATAAAAGAAATTCTTTCTAAGCTAAATAACTAAACTCAATTAATTCACTCACTCATAATTGGAACCTAGATATCTCGGATTTTTAATTAATGTTACATTTAAAATCTGAGGCCTGTGTTTATTTGTCTATGCGTTGTGAATGTTAAAAAAATCATGATTCGACGCGTGCATAGATTCTGAAATAACAAAAGTTTTGATTCGTTTGATTATTTTTAATTTTTCATTTTATTTTATTGCTATAAAGGACATACGACCGGGCAGATATTACAAGGTAAATGTCGCGAAAAAATATAATTATATATATACTTTTCTTTTACCTATATAGTACTTACATAAACTAACTGATAAACACATTAACCTTCTTTACATCACGCAATTGAGTGATAGTATAGGCTAAAAAATCTATTATAAGATATCAGTGACAACCCTAACAATCCATCCCTATTTTGTCTTTTGGCGTTCCAATTTTGTGTTTTCACGTCCCTAATTTTTCCAGTCTCGTTCCAAATTACCCTACATACGTCCCAATTTTCCCCAAAAAGAAAGGAAAAAATATACATTTTTTATTTTGTCGAAATATTGTATTTAAAATAAGAATATTGCAACTTACCGTTTGTTGTGGTATTTCCAGGTGTATTAAAAACTTATATAAACTGTGATCTTATTGAAAAAACAACGATAATATTACTTTTTTTAAAAGTTCTTTAAGCTGTTTTAAGACGCACTTTTCAACCACTATTTTCAATTTAATTTGACGAATTTTTGGGACCAACTTAACTCATATTTAGTACTTCCATAGTTAACTTGGTTTTTCTTCTATACATTAATAAATATTAACATAAACAAAATTAGGTAGATTCCGTGCTACAGGTACTTTGAGAATCTTCCGCAGGTTTGTCCCAATTTACCACAGGATCCCAATTTACCTCATGTCATGGTAATATTTATTTGTATTCCTATTATTGATCGAAGCTTAGTAAGCTAGAAACCTAGCTTTCAAAGTATACCGTACTAAAAATAAAAAACGTCAATAGGTCAATGCCAATAAGAGACAGAATTCAAGTAACATATTGTTATAATTTCAGATATTAAAAGAGAAAGTGATTGTGTGATCCTGTGATCATATTTGAATATCTCCAGAGAATGATCATAGTCTGAGTGCAAAATTTCTTAAGTGGATAGTCGATCATTTTACATTTCTCTTTTTCTGAACGCATCGGAAAATTCTCGATCGTTGCTTTGACAACTGTTTGTTTTTGATTGGCTAAAATTTTTAGAGAAATAAAATAAAAATTTATGCAGTCGATTTCATTCATATTAGTGATTCTAATAGACTAATCAATAAACGAGTGTTTGTTTTGTATCAGGCTCAAACGAAGGTATGTTCACATAGTATATTAAAAAAACATTTGTCTTTTAATGAGGATATCCTTTATCCGCTGTGCATAACTAACTACTCACCGATCAGAAATTGGTATTCAGTTCGCCGCAGTACAATATTTGATTAACCGAGCGGTGCTGTCCTATTCTTAATTAAATTAAGTCCACTTATATAATTACCGAGTTATTGAGAGCTTTGTACTTTTCACTAATTATCATTCTATCGTGCTGAATAACGTGTGCGAACATTAAATTTAATTTTTTTTAGATGGCTGAAATAAGCCGCAAGTTATTTCTATTTAGTATATTGTTGGCATTTTTCGGCAATACCAGGCTAACAAATGCAAACGAAGTCGACCAAAATGATGAGGCAACTGTGGAGGTTAGTAAAACCTAAGTATAAACGTTATTTTTTTAGGTTAAATGACCTACATTTTAAAACCTAGATATTTAAAAAAAAAATTATCTAGTCGTAAAACTACGGTTTTTAATCTTATCATAAAGATAAATATGTCAATTTTTAGCATACTTAATATTTCTTAAATTGACATTTTACTGCCTTTTACTCTTATGACCTATAAAATGGAATATCCAAACTTAAATTAGGAACATTTAATAACATAGTAATAATAAATCTCATAGATCATCTCTTTGACTCATATAAGATATAAGATATCTCACTCATTTAAGATATCTCAATTCTCAGCAACCATTAGGTTACAGTGAAGTGACTCCTTCCTATTACAACATACAGAGCCATAAGCATTCATAGCAAGGCAGGTCTGAATGCTTAAAGCCATTTAGCAAGCTAAGGAACAAGTTATACTTGGTGTCTCTCTAAAGAATAGGAAGTCCTTTTCTAGAGAACCAAAGTTACCAACATAGTTCAACACATAAGCAAGTGTTACTAACTTGTCATTCAGCGATCTTATTAATTGGTAAACTTGGTAAACCTGTGTGGCTGTGTGCTCTGAGAACATATCTTATAATGATGATCTATTAAAATGAATAGGAGGTGAAGGTAATTCCTAAAAACTCACACTTAATATAAGGCCTTTGTTTCCTAATAATGTTTTCTATCAGTGTCAGTGATACTATTGTTTATGCTGCTGTGTAAGAATAGTTCCACTACCTTAAATGTTGTTATATTTTGATAGATATTATGATGATTCTTATAAATTATTTAGATTGAGGAAGATGATCAATATGTCAGCCCAGAATTGAATTCAGACAGTGTGTACCTGTCTGAGCATTTTGATGATGAAAATGCTTTTAAAAGGAAATGGATTAAATCTGAAGCTAAAAAACAGGGAGTAGATGAAAACATAGCGAAATATGACGGAAAATGGGAGGTTAGTATTGCATCATTGCTTTTGAAGGCATTTGGCTCACACAATAGTAAGACGTCAATATTTTCCTGTACAACAGCTGCCACCCCATCCTTCAAACCGAAACGCATTACTACTTCACAGCAGAAATAGCAGTGTTACCACCCTATTACCTGCTTAGTATCCCGTGCAGACTCCCTAGATGCCCTATCACCAGTAATCATGCAAATTCCAACTTTTGCGGTATTCATTTTTATTAGATGATGTTATTCCTTAACCGTGGAAGTCATTCATGAACATTTGTTAACTGCGTATTTCCTTACAAAAATTGGTACCTGTCTACGGGATTCAATCCCCAGCACAGTCACATCACTCAATATGAATGTATCAGATGACGTATCCACAATGACTTCCAAACTTGTACAATTCAGAAAATTGCTTTCATGACAGAGACCTTGATATTTTCCTGTTACCCCACTCAAAGTGGATTTTGAAAATAAAATGCTTGAAAGTTTTTTATTTATTATAGATTCAACAACCAATCAGGAAGATCCTAAAGAACGATTTTGGACTTGTCCTCACAACCGAAGCAAAACATGCAGCTATATCTACACTACTGGATAAACCATTTGAGTTTAAAAACAAGCCTCTCATTGTTCAATATGAAGTCACTATGCAGGTTTATATTTTTTAAATCTAATTCTTATCTTGAGTATTGCTCACAACTTAGCACCCATTGTCTTGCCTATGTCTTTTTATTTAAATTATATTTATTTATATTTACACATTACACATTTATATTTACACATTATACACACTATATTATAATCATGTAACTTCCAGACAGATTTCAAGCTTAGTGCCTGTCGAGCCATTTTGGTACTTGCAACCATAAATAGGAAATGCTTGATAAAATGAATTTTCAACTAAATTTTTGATACTTCTTTAGGCTTGACACGAGTCTCAAACGAAACTCAAAGTAGTCCTTCTTCTGACAGAAATAAGACTTGGGTAGATTCTGCTTTTATAAAAAAAAAAAACTAAATAAGTATCTTTACTTGTATGTGTAAATTACAAAAATATTCTTGTGTTTATTTTTTACTTAAGACCTGTAAATTATTGCTAAATTTTGAAATATATTGTATATGACTGTATAGAATGTGACAAATAATTATCTGAATTATTTATCATGTTTAGTATGGATAAATTGAAATATTATGTTGTAGGACTGTGAAATTCTAAACCACATCTAATTGGCTTATCAGCTTAGTAAAGCTTATATTCCTATTGAAGTATTGCTTTATGACAATATTGGATTGTTATTTTAAAGTCTGTTATGTTATGTTTATTAATGTTAGCAGATTTTGGCAAATAAAAGTTATGTTGTTTTGCCAAATGTTCGCAAGTTTCTTTGTTATTCATTGGCATGTTTGGAGAGGCTCAATTATGAGCGAACCAGCATCAAGCCACAAATCAGTGTCTCAATTTCAATCCCTTGTATTATTTTGCTTTTAATGAGCAGTGGGCTTTGAAGCTTTCAGTTTTTTTTTAATTTATTTTTTATGGCAATCTGCCGCTACTTTCAGCAATTTCTTCAGCTTTCAGTTATTGTCGGTAAGCCCATTGATAACAACATCAATGTCATCATGTCATAATCATATGGTTAAAGGCTTAATGATAGCTCTGCAAGTCTAGTCATTTTTGCGTGAAGGCACAAATTCTAGCACCATTTTTTGTTTGGAGCTGATTGGTCTAAGGTTCACATCACTTGAATGAATGATTCAGTTGTTACAAGATGGCGCTTGAAGAAAGCAAACCTTTATTTGCTAAGCCCAGCATTTGTTCTGTATACTTAGGAAATTTTATTAGCCCCCATTTAGAAACGCTTACAACTAATGGGCCCATGCTTCCATCTTGCCTTGTCAGTCCTTAACAGTCTTGAATCTGCCCCATGAGAATAACGAAGATGGATCTTAATAAAAGTTGACTAAAATATCTGTATATCAATAAAATGATGCATCTAAGGTCATCCTAAAGCTGGCAACAATCCAGATACTATAATCTGGAACTTTTAAGTCATGATGTCTAAAAATAAAGTTCCGCTTGCGTCAATGCCATATTTGTGAGTTCAATGAGATGAGGACAAACATTAAAATTGCATTTTGAATCGCAAGTCCGTTGAACTTCGAAATGACAATTTGAACAATCATTTGTTTTTGTATGTGTAAACAACCCTTTGTCTTGTCACCACAATTCCAAGCAGTATCCCCGCTATTTTCCGAAAGTGTTGGAATTCTTGGAGTCTAGCGGTGTTCAGTATTGAAGTCAGTGGGAAGGTAAAGCAAATTGGCTTATAAAATTTTAGAAATTCTCAACAGAGCGAAGCGATACCTAAAGTCTGGATAAAGACTTTGTCGCTCGTCCACCCTCGCGTGGAGTACTGCTTTATCTCTGGGCAGGGCTCCGAAATACTGGCTATTTCCGTTTGACTCCATACAGACAAGGCAGTTCGGATTGTCTTCAATCCGATTTTCACAGATCGTTCCTCCATAGACTTCTGCGTCTATTGAGGAACATTGGTTCCTTTTACGTTTTGTATGCGAAGTGCCCTGAGGAATTGTTCAAGATGATCTCCTTTTTACACCTCCCGCCACCGGAACAGAGCTCATCCATACTATCTGGAACCGCTGCGTTCATCGGCAGTGCATTTCCAGAGATATTACGTACCGTCCGACTCTGTGATGAATTCCACGTTGTTTATCGAACGCTTTAATTAGTTCTTCTTTATACGAGACTTGCGGAGAGTACCTGGCGTTAAGTAGCTTGGCTGAGCCTCTAGTATTGCTGGCGTCAAAGAGAGATTTTGAGCATGTACCATCAGGTGGGCCTTCACCATCGCCAAGCTCATCTGCCTACATAGCAAAAATAGAGAACCGTACGGTACCGGACTGGTCATTTAAGGGTCTCATAAAAACTCCGTATTGTATCAGTATAGAGAATCAGGCAAAAAAAATCCTAACCTCTGATAGGATGGAATAGTTGACGGCTTAAATGCGGCGTTAACGTAATCGGTGTAATCTTAAATTTAGATAAACAAAATTGCTATTTAGAATGTAATCCATTAATATTACTATATATCAGATAAAAAATTAAAAATACGATTATAATTACCTTTGCGGCATTATCTCGCATTCATTATGTTAATTTTACAATTTCCAACTATAGTCGTTGTCAAACCAAAATCTGATATGTGCACTTTTTGAGATTTTTAATTTTTGATCTTTTTCGTATAGTTCACAGCCCTATCTACTGTATAAAAAAAACTGTTATGTGTATATGGCTTTAATATTTATTTAAAGCTTTCGTTTGGTATAGCTCTTAAAAATTCACCTTTATATAAAATTATTAATGAAAATATTTTTTACTTGAAACTTTTTTACTTGTTAATTCAAAATGGAGTTTATGCACATAGCAGATTTTGGTTTTACAGCGACGCTATACTTTATATTTCTCGAAACCATGGACAGATTATATTATTATTATTATTATTTTTCAACAAAAATTCAATATAGCGCTAACTACTGTCTAATTAATACTTTACTTCCCAAATTACGATTTCTTAAAACCAAATCACATCAAAGGAGAAACGCCAAATCTTTCAGGAAGGACAGAACTGCGGTGGTGCCTACATCAAGCTACTATCAAAAGGGACTAACACGAAAGCCGATCTACGTAAATTCCACGATCAAACTCCGTACACTATAATGTTTGGGCCAGACAAATGCGGCAATGATAATAAACTACATTTCATATTCAGACATAAGAACCCTAAGAATGGCACCATTGAAGAGAAACACAGTAAGAAACCAACGTAAGCAATGACCATGATATTTTTTTACTTTTTACGTAAGAACATTTTGTAATGCTGTGTTTTTTTTATTGCTAGATGGGTGGACGAGCTCACAGCCCACCTGGTGCTAAGTGGTTACTGGAGCCCATAGACATCTACGACGCAAATGCGCCACCCACCTTGAGATATAAGTTCTAAGGTCTCCAGTATAGTTACAACGGCTGCCCCACCCTTCAAACCGAAACGCATTACTGCTTCACGGCAGAAATAGGCAGGGTGGTAGTACCTACCCGCGCGGACTCACAAGAGGTCCTACCACCGGTATTGTGTCGCAGTTAATAAAGCACTTGGCTTTGTAATAGAATTATTACTTTAACTTCTGATTTAATATCCACCGCTTTATAACTCCCCTCATCTGTTTTAAGCAAAAGCAATTATTTCTATTTGACATTTGTTGGGTTATTTTTCCTGCACCTGCCAAGTAATCTATATAATTATAAGTTTTAGACTTTTAAATATACTAATATTAACATATTACATGCTAATTAAACTCAAGCAAGTCCTTTTGATAATGTATATTTTCATAGTTAAATTTTGTCTTACTTTGCTTAACAATATGGAAACAGTAATTATTTACATGCATTTCTCAGTCTGCAATTAAATACAATTAAAATACAATTCCACAGTCAGCGACTAGATGACATCTACAAAGACAAGGAGCCTCATTTATACACTCTGATTGTCCGACCAGACAATACCTTCTCTATACTAGTTGACAACAAGGAAGTCAATGCTGGATCTCTGCTAGAGGACTTTACTCCACCTGTCAACCCACCAGAGGAAATTGACGACCCTAATGACAAGAAACCAGAAGATTGGGATGAAAGGGAAAAGGTCTGTCAAAATAATATAACATACTGTGTATTTAAAACATTTGTGGCCTAGATGTGGACTTGTCCTTTACTCAAATCAAATTGAAACTGCATCATTATATTTCAAAGTGGTCTGTGGCTTTCATGTTGGCACGACGTCCATGGCCTCTGATAGATTCAATGCTGTCCTCTTTAAAAAATAAAAAAAAGTATATTTACTTATTTATTTAGTTAATGAACAATTGTGACAACACTGATGCCCGTGGATACTTAAGATTGAAGTCTCAAATGTATAAAATATAGCTTTCCTTTGAATAGGATTGGTACATCAGAATTAGGCAATCCACTATCAGGGTTGGATGTAGGCTCGTGACATGCTCTACTTAACATATCCATAAAACTTGCTCTATCTTCCAACAGATTGTTGATCCTAGCGCTACCAAGCCTGATGACTGGGACGAAACTGAACCGGCCCAAATTAAAGATCCCAATGCAATTAAACCTGAAGGATGGCTCGACGATGAACCAGAAATGATTCCAGGTATGTCAGATTCAAGTTGAAAATAAAGTGTGAACCCAAAAATATACTGTTGTAAGCTTATAATGTGCTAGAATTCTTTGATCACCATGCTTTTATGCCAGGAGACGAATTAAGCCATTTAAACTAACCGATAAGAATGCTGTCACATTACCAATTATAATCACTCATGAACACAATTGGCATTATGTACTCGGTTTTTATTATAGTGATGATATTTCTTATGGAAGATGTGATCAAGATAGATCAAAAAGATGATTATAGCGGCAATAGATATGATGTACTTGAATTTTTATTTTATTTTGGACTTGAGGACTGTTTTTGGTGAAATTAAAAGATGTTTAATTTTTGAGTTACCGTTTGCCATGTGTATTCTGAATTTGTAATCGTACAGTTTTATAGAATAGTGGGGTCAGGGAACAATATTCTTATCCAATAGCAACCGCACACGTTTCTAGCGTCACACACAGCTCGACTCTAATTGGTCGCGAAAATTTACTCAATAATACCAATATAATAATACCAATAACAAAATACGGATACAATAATTTCAAGGATCGACCTCCTCAGCACTACAGATGCCTGAACAATGATGATGATTCACAACTTACAACTACAGATGAGAGGTTCTTATTCAGCTCTCATTAAAGTTTATTTTAAAATGTCCAAACCTCAACTTAAAATAAGTGTTAGATGTATAAATCTATCTATAATAATGTAAACTTTTAAACGCTAGTATAAGGTGGAATATGCTACAGTCATTAACCATTTAACAATACATATGTATCTGACCAGATCCGTCGGCGGTGAAGCCGTCCGACTGGGACGAGGAGATGGACGGCACGTGGGAGGCCGCGCTCGTTGACAACCCTGCGTGCGAGTCGGCGCCGGGCTGCGGCCAGTGGGCGCCCCCCACCGTGCCCAACCCTAACTACAAGGTACTGTCTGATCGGCACGAGGGAGGCCGCGCTCGTTGACAACCCTGCGTGCGAGTCGGCGCCGGGCTGCGGCCAGTGGGCGCCCCCCACCGTGCCCAACCCTAACTACAAGGTACTGTCTGATCGGCACGAGGGAGGCCGCGCTCGTTGACAACCCTGCGTGCGAGTCGGCGCCGGGCTGCGGCCAGTGGGCGCCCCCCACCGTGCCCAACCCTAACTACAAGGTACTGTCTGATCGGCACGAGGGAGGCCGCGCTCGTTGACAACCCTGCGTGCGAGTCGGCGCCGGGCTGCGGCCAGTGGGCGCCCCCCACCGTGCCCAACCCTAACTACAAGGTACTGTCTGATCGGCACGAGGGAGGCCGCGCTCGTTGACAACCCTGCGTGCGAGTCGGCGCCGGGCTGCGGCCAGTGGGCGCCCCCCACCGTGCCCAACCCTAACTACAAGGTACTGTCTGATCGGCACGAGGGAGGCCGCGCTCGTTGACAACCCTGCGTGCGAGTCGGCGCCGGGCTGCGGCCAGTGGGCGCCCCCCACCGTGCCCAACCCTAACTACAAGGTACTGTCTGATCGGCACGAGGGAGGCCGCGCTCGTTGACAACCCTGCGTGCGAGTCGGCGCCGGGCTGCGGCCAGTGGGCGCCCCCCACCGTGCCCAACCCTAACTACAAGGTACTGTCTGATCGGCACGAGGGAGGCCGCGCTCGTTGACAACCCTGCGTGCGAGTCGGCGCCGGGCTGCGGCCAGTGGGCGCCCCCCACCGTGCCCAACCCTAACTACAAGGTACTGTCTGATCGGCACGAGGGAGGCCGCGCTCGTTGACAACCCTGCGTGCGAGTCGGCGCCGGGCTGCGGCCAGTGGGCGCCCCCCACCGTGCCCAACCCTAACTACAAGGTACTGTCTCACTGGGACGAGTACTAAATTCCTGCTCCTACTACACGCCGATTATCTATATCTATAATTTTAGTTAAATCTTAATTTAAATTTAATTGTATAAAATAACTAAATGTTTTTTTTTTTTGCTAAAGGCATCCAAAATACTTTCTTCACTTTTATTATTGAAATACACTCCAAATGAGAATGCAATATAATAAGTTTGTACCCAGGGCATATGGCGGGCTCCTCTGATCCCGAACCCCAACTACAAGGGCAAGTGGAACCCGAGGCGCATTCCGAACCCGGACTACTTCAAGGACGATCACCCCTTCCAGATGACACCCATCGTGAGTTACTCTACATCTACCTTACTCTTGTGCGGGATAAACAAATCAGTTTATCACAAATCACAAAGAAGTTTATCGCTTCCAGTTATACCTATTAAAACGATTAGAACTCATGTTTGTCAGAAGTTTTAACCTCAACTTAATGCTTAATAATATAGAGTTGATTTTACTGTGAAAGGAACTAAGAAGTCCGTAGTGTTCAACGTACATTGCGCATTTTTAACTATCGTCATTATTATATATACCATTATATCAAATTTGTAATAATTTCTGTAAAGCTAACCCAACCTATTAGCATACATTAGAATTTAATTCTGTCAATTGATATGTTTTTTTTATTTTACAATGTCAGATACTATCTTATTAATATAATTGAATAAGTAAGACAGTGGATGCAGTGAAGTCGTACACTGCACTTTCCATTGAACTCAAATAGCTAAGGCAATACAAAAGTTATCTTAAATGTACTTTAAGTCGTTTTGATTTCATTAAAACTGCAACTCGATGCGTGATTAGTGATTCTTATGTATATTTGCATGTAAATAATGGATTTTTTTTTGCTTACATTGGTGAACGAGCTCACAGCTCACCTGGTGTTAAGTGTTTACTGGAGCCCATAGACATCTAAAACGTAAATGCGCCACCCACCTTGAGATATAAGTTCTAAGGTCTCAGTACAGTTACAACGGCTGCCCCACCCTTCAAACCGAAACACATTACTGCCTCACGGCAGAAATGGGCGGGGTGGTGGTACCTACCCGTGCGGATTCACAAGAGGTCCTACCACCAGTGATTACGCAAATTATAATTTGTCTCTCTTTAACGTCGCTTTCTGAGTGTCCTGGTAGTACACGCGTGTGTGTGTTGGCAGCACGGCGTGGGGTTCGAGCTGTGGTCCATGTCCCCGATGCTGCTGTTCGACAACGTGCTGGTCACGGACGACTTCGCGCTGGCGGAGCGCTGGGCGCAGCAGACCTTCGTACTCAAGAAGGCCAAGCTTTCCAGGGACTCTGTAAGTACCTGACTTACCATTTAATACGAATGTAAAGTTATCTATGTAGACAAAGAGCAGCAGTCGGGGAACTTTTTTAATTATTACCCCAAAATATTTTTGTGTAAGTTGATATTATGATTGCCAGGCCAAGAACAAAAAAAAAACGAAATCGCTTCTTTTTAGTAACTTTCATATTATAGCCCCCATGTTAATTTTGAAAAGAAAACAATAAAAAAAAAAATTACGATTCTAAAGAAGTTTCACTTGAATATAATATACTTTTTACTCACAAAAGTTTTATTTTTACCCCTCAAACATTCATTTTACCCCATTTGGAGTAATTTACCGCGGTTCCCCGACCGCTGACATAGAAGAAGAGGTAGACCTAAGAAGAAATGGATGGATTGCGTGAAAGACGATATGGGTAAAGAAGGGAGTGAGCGAAGAAATGGTATATGATAGAAGAGTATGGAAGGAGAAAACATGTTGCGCCGACCCCAGGTGTCTGGGAGAAGGGCAGGAGAATTATGATGTAAAGTTATCTATGTATGTTGAATCACTTGGCAAGTATCAACATTTTCTTAGCGATTTTGTATTTAAATCATATGATGGAGGGTATCATACAATACAATGGTATTCTCATCGTTTTTATAACATTAAGTAGACAGACGGGTAGCAGAGCCCATAGACATAAAGTAAATACTGTCCATATTGAGACGTGAACTATCAACCATAATTACGCATGTTCTATCCTTCGGATTGGAATGTACCGATGCTTTGCGTCAGAAACAAACAGGACTACTCATAAATTCGCGCGGTTAGCAGTGTGGGGACGTGCGCTGAGGCCGCACCAGACACCGGCTGGTCACGGATTCGTGTTTGCTCAGACTTAAGAGTTCAGTTGGTGATAGCAAAAAGGATTTCACTTAAAGGAAAGTTCGGTGGCGAACTAGACCTTCAGCGTGGACATGGCAGACGCATCCGTTTAAATTTCGATTCCAAAATTGACAATAGCACGAATCACTTTTGGACTAGTGCATATTCAACGTCATTACCACTTCGAGAAGGCAGCACGACATGAAAACCCTCTTGTCGTGACCGCCGGGAATTACATACCCGATTCTGTAGATCAAATGGTAAACAGTCGACGTCGCCCTAAACACGTCATTACGGATCCTCCCGATTCACTAACGGTGCTTCTAGGTACCACAAGCGCCGGTCACTGTCCTCGTCGAACCCATCGCTTGCGACGAAAGACTCGTGAAGGGCGAGTGAATTAACCCATAGACATAGATAGCCCACTGAGTTTCTAGCCGGATCTTCTCAGTGGGTCGTGTTTCCGATCCGGTGGTAGATTCTGTGAAGAACTATTCTTGCTAGGGTCAGTGTTAGCGTCAGTTCCGGTTTGAGCCCCGTGAGCTCACCTACATGTTAGGGTGAAGCTGAAATAGCCACTCAAGGCTATCAGCATAGGTAGAAAAAAAAGTAAAGAAAAGCGAATTCGTGAATTTACTTTTTACTTACTATTTAACGAAGGAAAGAAACGTGCTAAAAAGTTTTGAAAGTGGTGTTGATCGTGCCATAGAAAAGTTTGTGGGGTCGGATGCTCCGCGCAATGAACTACAAGCCGGGCTGGTGGGCGCTGTACGCCGCGTACGTGGGCACGCCCGTCGCGCTCTACGTCGCCTTGCTGGCGCGCCGCGCGCAGGAGGTGCGCTAGTGTACAGCTCGCCTAGCGCTAGTGTACAGCTCGCCCTCTAGTGTACAGTCGACAACTCTTATAGAGTACACGAATAGCATCACGGCTACATACAAAACGCTATTTCGTGCAAACGTTACCCTCTCTTCTACAGCGTCATTATGGAGGAAATAAAAAAAATCTTAGTTCGTGCAAACGTTACCCTCCCTTTTATAGCGTCATTGTGGGGGAAATTAAAAAAATGTTCGTTCGTGCAAACCTTACCCTTTCTTCTATAGCGTAATTGTGGGGGAAATTTAAAAAAATGTTAGTTCGTGCAAACGTTACCCTCTCTTCTGTAGCGTCATTGTGGGGGAAATTAAAAAAAAATTCTAGTTCGTGCAGACGCTACCCTTCCTTCTATAGCATCATTAAGGGGGAAATTTAAAAAAAAATGTTAGTTCGTGCAAACATTACCCTCCGTACTATAGCGTCATTGTGGGGGAAATTAAAAAATATGAGCTCTAAAAAAATTGTATTAAAAAAAATACAAAATAGTTGACATACTTATTTAAATACTTTCACATCAGTTTTAACTTTATTGAAACGGCGGAGCATACAGTGACGTCTTGCATAGATGATAGGTTCGATTCTGCTAATTGCCATTATCAATGACATAAAAAAGTTAGAACTTAGAAGGTTATGGTAAGGTCACGGCTTGCGCTACATTCTGTAATGTTTGTAACTGGGCAGATGTGCGGTGGATTGGCATACGCTAATTAATTCTAAGGCACAAATAATAATTCGTACATAAGTAGTTTTGTAACGGCTATTTATTTGTATTAATACAATTATATTAGGTCATATTGGTTTTTCAGATCGAGTCCACGTTGCACATGTGATAAAAAGTGTAGGGACCACAAATTTTATTGTGGTGTGATTTTATTTATGTGTTAAAATGAGTACATTATGTAGAGCAGTGCGTGTGTTGGCTAGTTGAGTAGTTGAGCTAATATTACAGGATTCGTTTTTGGACCGCGGTCTGAAGTACGCCGGTGACAATCCCTGGGTGTACGCCGTCGTGATCCTCGGAGCCTTCCTGGTTATTGGCTTCGTGACCTATCTCCTGTGCGGCCCTAAATCTGTAAGTCGAGCGAAGATGGATCTACTTACCTGATGGAATAGCTACCTTTTTACCTGATGGAATAACTACCTATCTACCTGATGGAATCGGTCTTATTACCACATGACAACGGCTTAATGGAGATGAATGACCTTTGCCTTTAAATATTATTAATAAAAAATAAACGTTACTAAATATTTGAATAGTAATAAGTGATTAAAAAATGTATTTTTAAATTTATTTTAATTTTCCCATTAAAGCATTTGAAATAATTATCTCGTCATAAACTAATGACGTCACAATTACTAATAATAAATGTACACTACAAGTTTTAGGAGAAGATTGTTTTTTTTTCTAATTTATTTATATTCATTAATTAATTATTATAAACGAACAGTTTTTAAAATTTACATATTATTGTTATTAATAGTTCTCTATAATTGTGCTATATACCTACTTAACATTTTATTAGTATACATTGAATTTATTAATATCTAAAACCCGATGAGGGATACATTTTCAAAATCAATGACTTGATCTCACGCCAAAGAACGAACGAACGAGTGAATGATTTTTTCAAATCAGGAGCCAGAAGCAGATCCCAAGAAGACAGACGCATTTGTGGAAGACGACCCTCATCAATCGGAAGCCGAAGAGGATCTCAAAGAGGAGGAGCCTCGGGAGAAACCCACCAAGACCAAAGCTGATCTCGAGGGTCCGGAGGAAGAAGTCGAGAACGTAACTTTGACTACGGAGGTACGACATTATAACCATAATATGGTGAAATTAAAAAAATGGTGCGCGTGAAAGAAGTGAAACTTCTATTGCGGTGTGTAGTATTGTGGTTTTCTTAATTTTTCATGCTTATATCAAATTTCTCTTGTGAATAGGGAATGCTGTGTATAAGCTAGCTATATAGCTCGCTTTGTCCTTTCCCACTCTCACTCTTCCTAAATTGTATCTTTTGTCTCTAGCAGTAAAGAATCTGCCGCGAGTTAAATTTAACTATAAACGCGCCTTAAGAAGTTTCACTTCAAAAACGATTTAGTGTTAACGGTCATCTAAATCAGTGGGCTAGTCTAAATTAACGTTAGGCATTTGTGCTGCACGCTGTTAGCTTATGAAATCCACTGAAATAACTTAACTTGATCGTAACCAACAAGTAATATTACAGGCGAGCCCAACAGAAACAGAGGGCGCTGGTGACGGACACAGGAAACGGAAGCCTCGTAAGGAGTAAACGAGATAGCGCTATACGTGCGAACGAGACAGGTATATATATTATTATTAAACCGTTCAATAGGACGTGTCCATAGAATAGTCTGTAGTATCTTTTAGTACTTCATTGTATTTTAAATGTACTGAACTTTCTATATTGTCACTTTTAGAAATTTAAATTTAGATTTCGTTCGTTACAACAAAATGGCGACCATTTGACGTCGGCCATTTTGAATTCAATAACGTTCTCGTTCTTGCATTTAAATGGTTTTTTAGAGAAAATTTCCACTCGACTTCATTGTGTTTAGTGCGAGTATTTTAACGTTCTCGATAACGTAAAAGTTAAATCGAATTTGTATGCACTCATGCAGTTGGAACAGCGCCCCTAGCGGTAAACGTTGAGTTAACTTTTACGCTATCGAGAACGTTAAAATACTCGCACTACACACAGTAATCCGTGTCGCAAGATTTATTGTTTATCCTGTATTTAACTGGCGTTCAATATTGATAGTGTGCATTGCGATAAGTCCGGGTCGACGACCGCCTGCAGAGCCGTTTTACATTTTGACCTTTTAAGGGCTGGCGATTAACGCACTACCGTCGTCTAGGGGCACGCGTGGGTCGCGCGTGAGGTCGTGAGGTTAGGTAATCAATGACTCGAATGTATGCACGCGGCCCGAGTCTAGGTCTGAAGAGTATATAGAAATAATTTCTCGAATCGCATTACTTGCAGAGCATTGCATTTTTTTTTTTGGTTTGTCTTTTCAAATATAGATATTATCTTTATGTTATTACAGTTTATAATTCTTTGAATATATTCATTTACGTATGTGTGTGACTCTTCGGTAATATGTTTATTTAGTTTTGCGGGTAGTAATGTAGCTAACGTTGTGTGTGCTGTTGTGTGCGTCGCTCCGCTGTAGTTCGTCACCAAAGATTGTTTTGCGGCGACATTTACGATCGTTTGAGCCGTGCGTCAGGACACAGCCGCCGATTATATAATCTGTAATTAGTGCGGTCACCAAAAATCCTCTAGCGACCAATAATAAATAACCCGGGATCAACGTATGGATCCCCTTAGATATAATAATAATTGTAGTTTAATAATAATAATAATATATTTCAATATAATAATGTATGTATATGTATGGTGGAGCTATTAATGTACTTTGTACAATTTTTTTTTTGTTTTTTCTTCTTTATCTTTTACGTTAGGGTTGTAGAAAAGTATTAATGATTAATTATATTATAAAGGTGAGGGGCTATTTGGTTTAAGCGACATTTTTGCAACCGTACAAGAGAGCCATTTAAATAATAAAATTTGAAAAAAATATCGCAACAAAAAAAAATTGCAGCTATCTGAATGGGGTTAACTTAATTGAAGTTCAATTAAAAACATCGATAATGGTTGGTTCGAAGTAAGTATCAGTTGAATGGAATATTTTAAATGTATTCAACTGATAATTACTTTTAATAAATGTATCTTTTTTATTTAATTGGTTTTGTTAATTTTGAGTATGTCTCAATGATACTATGTACACATGTGGACTTGTTGCTGTCTGAAATAAAATAAATCATTCATTCATTCATTCATTCATTAATTGATAATAATACCAAATTAAACGGACCTTTAATTACAAGATCAATTTCGCGTATTAATCGAATTGTCGCTTAAACCAAACAGCGCTACACCACTCGATATTGTAGGTTTATGTATCTTTAAAAAAAAAAACTTATCTAAATATGAGAACTATCGGCTATTGTTATAATTTTTCTCCCATGCACTGACACTCTTTATTGCGTGTTGACTACAAGTGTGGCTTGGCTTAGGTGGAATTTATGTTATTAATTTACATTAGAAATGCATTTAAGAGCGCATTTTGAACAAAACCGATTTGAGTTTTAGAAGTTAAAAATGGTTTAAAAACAATGAAATGTGTCCTCGATTTTGATTAAAAATTTAAGTTTGTGTTGTGACCAAAATCTTTATATATATACAACATAGTATTTTGATTAAGAAATGTTTTTTTTTCTTTCTTTCTAATGTCCAAAATTCATTATATTCGTTGGGTTCATACATCCAGTGTAGTAGCTCCAGTGTTGAGAACAAATGATTTGGTCGTGTTGTCGGATAATTGCCTTGTAATCGATATGATATATACATATATATATATATATGTTTGCATTTACGTAGGTGAATATTTGTGCGACGAATGTTTCGATGGACTGTAATTTATATTAATAAACGGTATTTGTATGTAATATTGTGTTTTATTTCGCCAAGTAACTTCGAGGAAAGTACTACATGAATAATGTAGCTTTTGAAATTCGTTGAAGCGTAGCTTGACGTGAGCAATGTCGCTAACCATGAATACATATTGAGGGGTGAAAGACTCCTTAGTTTAAGCAAAATTTCGCTTATTACGCGACATTTAACCTTGTAATTAAAGGACCGTTTATTTTGATACTAGTATCAACAATTTAATGTTTTTCATTGGATTTCAATTTTTATTTTATTGCTTTGATGGGTGGACGTGCTCACAGCGCACCTGGTGTTAAGTGGCTACTGAAGCCCATAGACATCTACAACGTAAACGCCCACCACCTTGAGATATAAGTTCTAAGGTCTCAAGTACAGTTACAACGGCTGCCCCACCCTTCAAACCGAAACGCATTACTGCTTCACGGCAGAAATAGGCGGGTGGTGGTACCTACCCGTGCGGACTCACAAGAGGTCCTACCAAATATTGCGATACGATGGACCAACACCAGCGGAATATATTAAGAAGCATGAATGTCTCGTCGAAGCCTCGCCACAAAGACCGGTCCTGCGCTGCCTGCATCCAGCGGATCCCCGCGAACCTCAATAGATCGTCGGTCCATCTTGTGGGAGGATTACCCACGCTACATCTTCCGGTACGCGGTCGCCACTCAAGAACTCTCTGGCCCCAACGGCCATCCGTTCTACGAGCAAGGTGTCCTGCCCACTGCCATTTCAATGTCGCAATCCTTTGGGCTATGTCGGTTACCATGGTTTTCCTGCGAATCTCCACATTTCTGATTTGATCTCGCAGGGAAACTCCGAGCATAGCCCTCTCCATTGCTCTTTGGGTGAACTTGAGCCTTCTCATAAGGCCCATTGTGAGCGACCACGTCTCAGTGCCATATGTCATCACCCAAACCCAATAAGACCATTACCCAATAAGAAAAAACCAATAAGACTAATAACGCACTGGGAGACTTTATATTTGTCATAACTCAAAACTATAAAAATAAATAATACGTGAAGCAAAAACTTTGTATCCCTTTTTACGTAAATTGCGCGGACGGAGGAGTATGAAATTTTCCACACTTATAGAGAATACAGAGAAGAAGTGCACAATGCTAATATTTTTTTTAAATAATGCATAAAAGACACATTAAATCAATAAAGAAAACGTTACACACACTACATACCATGTATTTGACGCACACACGCATGAATACTATTGTCAAACTTTTGTTCTTGACGTTTGTGGTCAAATTGAGAATAAATTAAATATTGTTTGTCTTTATTAATATTTTTTATAGAGTAGCCTTAGCGAAATTTGTGATTATAGAAGTATAAAATACAATCATAATAGTGTACAAGCTTACAATTCCAATGAATTATAGTCGAATTTCGACTACTGCGGGACCTCTAGTAAAAATAAATAAACAATCGTCTCCTTTGGCGTTTATTAGGAACGTTTTTTTGACGAAATTACGTCAGAATTTATAACATCACCGTCTGGCTTCGCTTGTGGGAACAGCTTTATTAAGTGTATTTATTATCCATGGCCGCTTTCCCGTGCACGTAGGCAAAGCTAACGGACTTTTTTTTTGTATTACAGTTTATTGGGGGGAATAGGGACAAATCTGGGCTGTTCCAATACTTTTGTTGATTTGTTAGAGATTTAATTTTGGTGCACTAAAAATGACTTTTATTTGTTGTTTAAAAATATTAAATAGCTTAATTTAGTCATCAAAGTTTTGTAACTCATTAAAGATATTAAAAAATTAAGTACCTAAAGTTAAGTACCTACCTAACAACCAAATAGTGCCAGCCCTAGCGAAAAACTATTAACCCCCACGCCAGGGTCAATAGGGATCTCCGTCGGCAGGGCGTCATTGGGGTGAGCCGCGCCGTCTGGTTGTAGTGATGACCGCGGTAACCCCCCTACCTCATCTGGGTTCTGACCTCTAAGGGGATCGGACGTCGGGTGTAAGAGTGCAGGGGAGTCGTTTAGTGGGTGGGCCCTAAAATCCTTGGGCCCGCGGTCTGCTCACAACACCATGCAGACCGTTGAGTCTCACATACCCCACGCGCCCCTTTGCGCGGGGACCTCGTAGGAGGTTCGGCCCCCTACCCGAAAAAATTAAATAAAAAAGGGTCAATAGGGATAAGTGAGTTTTTGTAACTTTTTATGATTATTCTTTAATAAACTATACATATCTTTATGCATTATAAATGAAAATTGAAACTACCGGTACCATTATGATCTCCGTTTTATTAATATAACTACAAAAAAAACGATAAAAAAAAATGTGTGGTGTCGTGGGACCATGGGATAGGAACGAAGTTCCTTATTATAAAAATATTAATTTTTAGTTCTATTCGAGGTATAAAGAAAATAAAACTGGAGGTTTCGCAACAACCCACGGTCATTCGGTAACGTGCGAACTTATTTTGGTACAATTCATTCACGGTTGTTTAGTGTAGGTATTGCGCTAACGAACGCTCTGAGATCGTGGTCAATGAATGTAAAAAAATATGTTATTTTTTGTACATTATTACAAAGTTAAGTCGTACACTGGGTTTACTAATAAATTGCATTACTAAATTAAAATGTGCATTACTAATAAAAATCTTACGTTACGGACGTTTTTTCCCAGTTAGGGTACCCCTCCGCACCGTCCCTTTTTTTATTTATTGCCTAAATGTGTGGACGAGCTCACAGCCCACCTGGTGTTAAGTGGTTACTGGAACCCATAGACATCTACAACGTAAATGCGCCACACACCTTGACATATAAGTTCTAAGGTCTCAGTATAGTTACAACGGCTGCCCCACCCTTCAAACCGAAACGCATTACTGCTTCACGGCAGAAATAGGCGGGGCGGTGGTACCTACCCGTGCGGACTCACAAGAGGTCCTACCACCAGTAATTACGCAAATTATAATTTTGCGGGTTTGATTTTTATTACACGATGCTATTCCTTCACCGTGGAAGTCAATCGTGAACAATTGTTAAGTACGTATTTCTTAAGAAAAATTGGTACCCGCCTGCGGGATTCGAACACCGTTGCATCGCTATATACGAATACACCGGACGTCTTATCCTTTAGGCCACGACGACTTCTAAAGGAACTTAAGGTCCCTTAAGGAACTTCGTTCCAAAATCAATGTCGAACTTAAAAAGTGTCCCGGTTCTCCCATTTTACGGTTAGATGATAGATACACAATATAATGTTACCCGATTACATTAAAATAACTTTTTTCTTTCTTTTGAAAAGCACTAGTAGATCAGATTTATTAATTGCTGGATAACATGGAGCTCCGAGCAACAGCACTGTTAATTTATTATCAGATCACACAAAAAAAAGATGTGGTGTCGTGGGACACCAGGTAGGAACGAAGTTCTTTCGGCTAATGTAGAATCGACACAATTTGCAAAAAAAAAAGAAGGAGAAAGAGAAAGGTATTATACACTACTCGCTTGTGTATACGACTGTCGCGCCTGCGCACGTCTCATTTAACGGTTTTATTCCACGGACTTACGGTTTCTTACGGTTTTACTATCACATTTTTTTCAGTTCGGTCGCGCAGCAAAATCCCTATCTCCTCCAAGCCTGCCGTAAGGAACTTCGTTCCAAAAATTCAGCGATCTAGAACGATCTTTTAACTACATTTTAAAATGTATAAAATTTAATGACAAGGTCGCAGGTAGCTAACGAGAATTTAATTTTATTAACTTAAACTACGAAAGACGTCAATAAGTTAATATTACACTGATAAAATAAGACACTGACAAATCGACAATACTAAAACGAGGTTGAATACTAAATAATCGAATTATTCTGAGTGATTCCTATCAATACAGAGCAATGTCATTCTATTGTCTGGCTGTGTTTTTTGTTTACAATAAATACCTCGAGTCGAGAGAGATAAAAATAAGATCGCGAAGCTACGGAATACAGTGCAACCTTAATATAACGAACCTCAATATAACGACGTCCTCGATTTAACAAATTTTTCGTATTCCCCCTGAATTGTCCATATGAGTCGATGTAAAATATACCTTTACGTTGCGGAGGTTTTTTGCAAACAACCTCTTTATAACGGATTTTCAACTATAAAAAAAAGTTGTAAATACCTCTAATTATCAAATTTTGTCAACCCAAAACCTTTAGGCATAGATTATACACTTAATATATTTGAGACCTTTAGGTATATAACGTTCCCACCAATATGACCCTTAATCCTATAGTATCTGAATCAGTCTCGACAGGTTTGAGAAAAATTGTTACCTATCTAATTGTTTTTAAATAGAAAATGTATACAGTAATTTGATAAAAATGTGTTATCATTTATGAGTAGAAGCTGTTCGCTATAATAAGATGAGTAAGTAATGTTGAGGTGAATAAAACTTTTTTTTTAACTCGTTTTATCAAATGGTAGACCAACCTAATCTTAATCTAACAAACCTTAGTTTACCGGACTACTTACTTGATTTTTTTTTTTTATGATTGAAAGTTTACTGTTGGCCCGAAGGCCTTTCCAGTTTCACCAGGACAGGTGGGCGAGCAAAGGCTCAGCCAAGAGGGGCAGGATTTGCTAACAACTGGCCGAGCGCCTCCGAAGGAGACCTAACAACTCAAGAGCAATTGCTTGAATGAATCTACTACCGGATCGGAACCGCGACCCGCTGAGAAGATCCGGCGAGAAACTCAGCGGGCTGATGCATGGGTTAGGTTGCACGTCGACCTCTTTGTCGAGTTCGACGAGTACGGTTACCGAGTTCCCTAAGCCTGCTCCTAGTATTAGAGCTGAAGGCATCTAATGCAAAGGTTATTAGATCTGATGGATCCGTAAGGACGTGACTACTTGATTTATCGAATATTTACTAGTATCTTTCCGATTTTTAATATCGAGGTTGCACATTAACGTCAATGCCCGTAAAGCTTATTATAATTTTTAACCGATATTACATTGTAGTGTTGTTAAAGTGATAATTAACAAGTATTTGTTTGCATTGTACTTACTGTGTCCCGTTTAAAGCGTAGCGTGTATAGGCGTTATCTATACATATAAATAAAATTAGAGTGTCTGTTTGTAATATTGAAATAACCACTTTTTACTACATGCATATGAATATATATACGGTACATACACTAAAATGTCTGTTTGTTCCGGCTAATCTATGGAACGGTTGGACCGATTTTGATGAAACTTTCAATAATAGGTAGCTGATGATATAAGGAGTAACTTAGGCTACTTCTTTTAGACTAGCTTCGCCCCGCGGCGTCACCCGCAGTTATTGTCGTACCGCGCGCAACATGGCGGGACTCGCCTATTCAATAATAAAATTTAATGTTTCCGAAGCGAAGCGAGGGCGGGTCGCTAGTTGTAAATACAAAGCTGTATGATATACTCGAACGTATGTCGGTCGTCAGTCATTCACTGATACGTTTCTGTGAAGAGATGTCGTGGTTAGTGCTGATTGTGATATTGGGTGTCGCGTCGGCTACTAAACCTAATATAATTTTCTTTTTGGCGGACGATCTTGTGAGTTTTTATTTTATTTTATGTGAATCGTTTTATACGTTCGTTTTTACAAAAAATTATGTGTGTGTACTGTTAAAAAAATATTACTTATAAAATCTTTGCTTTTTTAAAGTATTTTAATTAGATTAAATAATTTCTATTGCTCGCATTGGTAGTAATAGTTTCTAAAATCTAAGCAATGTAAAAGTCTATACGATCTCACCGTGTGAACGAGAACCGTGCCCGAAATGAAGACATGCAGTGCTGTTGATCACAAAAACAATAATATTGTAAAAGCCGCTATCGAAATAATATATTATGCCATGCCAAAGATACAATGTTTTTAAAATCAGCTGACGCGCGGTTCAACGTCCTGCGGTCTCCTGTGAGGCGGGGCAAAGCAGCTTTGTTGTAGATTACGGATTCGTTCAACACTTACTTAAGACAAGCTATGCTTAGATGTTTTTATTGCTCTCGACCTATCTGGTTGTAAGTGGTGCCCTTAGTCCTTTTGTAGCAACTGTCCCACACTTCGGACTACATGATTACTTAGTAGCATAAAGAGGCAGGATGGTGCTGCCTGCATTGGCTCACAGCCTTCCAATGAGAATGGAGCCAGTGGCCAAAAGTGGTAGTACACTATTCATTTTGAGTTGGTAGCTCGCGGACTCCTCTAGAAACGTTTTTACAAAATTCGATCAAGGGCGAGCTTTCGCTACAATTTTCGCAACTTTAAATTTATATAGGTAATACAATATAATTCAGGGCAGGCTTCGTTGTGACCATCTCCAATTCATTTTCTTTTGTGTTTTTTTGGATTAGTAAATATTTCCGGGCGTTCTTGCTAGTGCTATGACCATAAAACCATAAAAGTGAAAGTTTAATAGATAAAATGCCTATAAATTTTGAAATGTCAATTATTAAAATCTTATTTACATGTAACCCGCCCAAAGCACAACATTTCAATATTGCTCACACCATTATTTAATAGGTTTTTTTACCAAGGTTTTATGGCGCTTAAAACAACGTTGCAATATCTAGAACTCATTAAACGTGAAAAACATTTCGAACTACGTTCTAGTACCCGTTAAATAATTGTTAGTATGTAACGTAAATGGCCGTGAATGTTTAAAACAATACGTAACAAAAATTCAAACCGTTTATATATTATAAAAACATAAGTGTAATTCTTAACACTTCTTCTTCTTGTAATTTTACTAGTGTAGGACCTCTTGTGAGTTCGCGCGGGTAGGTACCACCACCCTGCCTATTTCTGCCGTGAAGCAGTAATGCGTTTCGGTTTGAAGGGTGGGGTAGCCGTTGTAACTATACTGACATCTTAGAACTTATATCTCAAGGTGGGTGGCGCATTTACGTTTTAGATGTCTATGGGCTCCAGTAACCACTTAACACCAGGTGGACTGTGGTGAGTTCATCCGTTCATCTAAGAAATAAAAAAAAACAGATACATATATGTATGTATGTATATGTTTGTGGTTGACGAAATACGTAGATATCTATTTAGCATATTTTACTGAAACCCGTCACTAAATCCTATTTTTCGTTTATGGCACACGCTATTTCGTGCGTGGTAAGTTACTTAACTGTGTCCAATTTGAATATGTTGAAATTTTTTTAAAACGATTTTTTTAGAATCTCTGTGAATTGATCCGATCAGTACCTAACTAAAATTGAACAAACTACTAAAATTATACTTATAAAAACCATTTAGAAATAGCAGTCGTTAACCCCAAAATGAGCCGTCGAAATTCTGCTAATTTATCAATAGCTAGGGTTCGGCTACAGTATCGAGTTACGACTTCTACTACATCTATATATTAATACGTGAAGCAAAAACTTTGTATGCCTTTTTACGAAAATTGCGCGGACGGAGGAGTATAAAATTTTCCACACTTATAGAGTATAGAGAAGAAGTGCACAATGCCAATATTTTTTTTAAATAATGCATAAAAGATACATTAAATCAATAAAGAAAACATTACACACACTACATACCGTGTGTTTGACGCACACACACATGCATACTATTTATTGTCAAACTTTTGTTCTTGACGTCTGTTGTCAAATTGAGAATAGAATATGGTTTGTCTTTGTTAATATCTTTTATAGTCTTGGCGAAATTTGTGATTATAGAAGTATAAAATACAATCATAATAGTGTACAAACTTACAATTCCAATTAATTATAGTCGAATTTCGACTACTGCGGGACCTCTAGTCCCTATTATTCGTGCAAAGCGGTCCCTTTTTCCTTGTAAAACTGTTTTGTTTGGCAGACAGGAAAATAAACTACTCTTGTTTGATTAGAAAGCGTAGGCAGTACAAAAAAGCTCGTAAGAACGGCAGTCTGTAGAATACAGGCCCAACGACTACTTTTTGAGGAAAGGAAAGAAAATAGAAAAAATCGTCAGACACTGTAATCGATAAATAATGTAAAGAACATCATAATATATAATCAAGCACAAACTAGCCAATCCTTAGCCTTGTGTGCTTCTTTCTGCGAGTTTCTTCCCTTCGTTCGCCGCTAGGGCTGCTGTTCCACCTCGGTCCTTCTCTTCTCCCCTTCTTCCTCACAGGAGGCGCCGGAGTCCGACATAACCCGATCCGTTACCCCCCTCGACCGGGTATCCGTAAATGGTGTTTCCCGAGCGCTATGACATGTCCTTCTTCAAACGAGGCTTGTGGAGAGTATTAAGCGGTAGACAGCGTCGTAGCTCTGCCCCTGGCATTGCTGAAGTCCATGGGCGACGGTAACCACTCACCATCAGGTGGGCCGTATGCTCGTCTGCCTACAAGGGCAATAAAAAAAAAAAAAATGGATTCCAACTGCTGTTCCAACTCCATACAAATTCGAGTTAACTTTTACGCGATCGAGAACGTTAAAAAACTCGTACTAAGCACACAAATTCTTCTATTAAGTACGTAACCTATTTACTACCTACTTACTACTATTACCTATTACTTCACCTAGTCGACAAACTTTCGTCGTATACAGTTTTTTGTGATTTTTTTTACTGCATAGGTTGATGGACGAGCTCACAGCCCACCTGGTGTTAAGTGGTTACCGGAGCCCATAGACATCACAACGTAAATGCCGCCACCCACCTTGAGATATGAGTTCTAAGGTCTCAGTATAGTTACAACGGCTGCCCCACCCTTTAAACCGAAACGCATTACTGCTTCATGGCGGAAACAGGCGGCAAAATACAATTTTCGAATCACAGTCAAAAGACTACAATGACCGCCATACCTTGTACTTATAATGTATTATTATATTCAAAAAGATTTGATCGGAGAGTCTACCAATGAATAAATGGTTAATTAAAGTCAAACAGTTATGAATTTGACCTTTATGCAGTTATTGTAACGCTAACGTAATGCATGTGGATATTTTTCTTAACACGTACAGAGAACTTAAGCTCTTAGAAGAAAGAAAGAAAGAAAGAAAGAAAATCTTTATTCGCCAGAAATATAGTTTACAAGATATAGGACATAGCTTCATATATTTCGCCTGTTTAGGCATGCGAAAATTTAATTTATTTTTATATTAATTATAACACAAAATTTACTAAATCTATCTATTTTTACATTCTATCACTTCTTATTCTAATATTTTATTGTGTACAACACTTATCATTTAAAAATTCTTGCACACTATAATAAGCCTTGTCTATTAGCCATAAATATAATTTTCTTTTAAATTGAGTTAGTGGAAGATCTCTTATGCTGTTTGGTATCTTATTAAATATTCTGATAGTCATAGGATAACAGTTTGTATGGTAGTAACGAGTATTTATACTTGGTATGGCACAACTTTAAGTGTTAAGTTGTAGCCCATTTTCACGGCTTGACCGTCACCTACAGTTACAAATTCTTATATTTACATTGAGCAAAATTATGTCTACAATCCAGGGCTGGAACGATGTCGGCTTCCACGGCTCCAATCAGATTCCGACCCCTAATTTGGATTCTCTGGGTGTCTCCGGGCTGATGCTCCATAACTACTACACGTCTCCGATCTGCTCACCTTCAAGAGCTGCCCTTATGACTGGGAAATATCCCATACATACAGGTAAACTTACATTGTAATATAATAATATTATGATAATATTATTGTTAATATAAATATTATTATTATTATAATGTATAATGTAATACATTACATTGTATATATTGTGTATTATAAATAATCACTACAGTCTACGACTTAAAAAAACACAGAAAATTATTGCCACCTACAATAAAATGAGATTAAGACTGACCTTTACACGCTTTATGCATTTATAACACGAGTAGTTAACATTGTTTGCATGACACTTGTTAATACGGTGCTTTACGAAAAAAAAACGAGCATTTAACCAAATAATCTATTTAATTATTGTATTTAGTTTTTTTTTCTACCTATGCTGATAACCCTGAGAGGCTATTTATGCTTCTTGACGTGTAGGTGAGCTCACAGGGCTCAAACCGGGAGTGTTGCTAACACTGGCCCTAACAAGAGCAGTGCTTCAAAAAATCAACCACCGGATCGAAAACGCGACCCACTGGGAAGATCCGGCGAGAAACTCAGTGGGCTGTATCTATGGGTTAAGTCACTCGTCGAGCCTTTCGTCGCAAGCGACGGGTTCGACAAGGACGATGACCGGACAGTTATTAGTTATTTTGATAAATAACGTTGCTTGTATCTTTAGAATTCTTTTATAAATATGCACACATAATTTTTGATTAATGTCCTCACAAAATATTGATTCAATGAAAAATTATTTCTGTCCAAACAGCTTAAAGTGTACCTACTTGCATGAAAATTAAAAGAATCATGATTTTTATGTACTTGGTTAGTTTGATTCAGTATTGTGTATGAAGGAGTGATGGTTTGCAGATAAGCATCTCGCGTGCACCTGAATATACTTATTATTTGTATAGCTGGCTGCACTACTTTAATTTCGAATAACCACCTCTTATATATATACACATATGTACGTCGGTTTCCCGCCGCCAGAGCGGTAGGCACGCGCTTTGGTATCGAATACAATTTTAATGATTCCCAGAGAAACGCGCTTATCCTAAATCGTCTAAAAATGTTTATCTACACATTCCCCTTTCCAGTCCAGCGGCCACCATCACATCAGCACGACGTCATGACACTGTAACCACCGTGCGGGACTTACGACCGTATACATATAATAGACAAGTTCGAATTCATTTAGCGTGGTATGTGCCTGGCACCTGTTACGAGTGAAATACAAAGGGGAGTGATTTGAATAAACCGTTAGCTCCCTACTTGACTAATAACTTCCCGCCATTAACATCCAACCATATGAGATATTATTATAGTGTCGGTATTAAGGTTATAAAAAATTGATCCTTGAATGTGCTAGGAATAAGTTGCAAATTCATTCAAACCGTATGAAACTTAAAACCGTAATCTACAACACACTGCTATGTTAAATGTGCTAATGTAAATTCTGAAGCTTGGAGTTAAAGATGATTTTGGTATGACATATCTTCCGAGGGTTACAACACTTACAACAAACAAATACTCAATGGAATACTAAGTTTACCAGTATGCAAAATGATGTACCTGTATTATTTTATTCGGTATTCGCGAGTTCTACACATAATTATAACTCTTCTTTTTCTTTTTCTCCACCTTATCCCACTAGGTGGGTTCGGCACAGCGAATTTTTCTATTCCATTCTCTTCTATCAACCGTCATCTCAACACTCACTCCTCTCTCTCTCTCTCATATCATCACACACTCCATCCGTGTCTTCTTCGGTCGACCTCTCCCCCCTCTACCTTGCACTATCATTACATAATGAAAACTACTACGACTTAATCTAGAGAAAAAAAGGGTTTTTAATTTACGTTATCTTATTTCCGACGTCCGATACTTTACAGTTTTCGTGGTCACGGACGACTATAGTGTTGTTCTTAGATATTTGATTATTGTGCTATTGCGTTTATACAATTACAAATTATAGTTAACAGTAATATTTGCCATAATAGCCATATTAGTGAATATGGCGGCGCGCAACATCTGGGCTGATGTTTTGATGCCTTTTTCAGAACAATGTGTCTCAGTCATTCCTTCTCAGCTAACACCTCACCAAACTATAGCCCGATAATGCTCATATTGTACCCTACTGACCCATCGAGAAGCTTCTGTAGTTTTGAGCATAAAACAGATTAATTTTGCAAATTCTGAAAAAAAATTCCCGTGTTTTCCATCGCTATGCCGTATACTCTAAAAAAATTTATTATCTTATTTCTTTTTAAATCATCGATAATGATAATTGCTTACCTTTGCTGCGCATTCTGAGTTTTTAAATAAACAGTATAGTTTTGGGTGCTTCATTAATTAATACCCTTTAAATAGACAGCATTACGATTTCGAGCAGAAAGTTTTTCGGCTTATTTTCTTCACCACATGAATGATCATTTAATTAAGTGTCCCTATCAATTATCCTATGATATTTGATTTCCCAACACACCCACTTTATTTGTGTTTATTCTCATGGATCTTTCGAAGCTGCATTGAAATTATAAGCCTTATGTTCAAAAGACGTTGCCAAAAAGTTACGGGCACTTGTGTTTCTTTATCTTTATTTTTGTTTTCTAGGTATGCAGCACGGTGTAATATACGGCGCGGAGCCCCGAGGTTTACCCCTCAACGAGAAAATACTGCCACAATATTTAAAGGATTTAGGTTATAAAACGCATTTGGTGGGGAAATGGCATCTCGGGAGCTACAAAAAGGAATATTTGCCTTTGAATCGAGGGTGCGTTTGAGACCTTATGGCTTTTGCGTTGTTTTTTTTTTTATCGCGTTGGTAGGTGAACAATAATCCCATCTGGTGTAAACTGGCTACCAGTGTCCATATACGTATAGTATAAACGCATTCCTTAAGATATGAGCCTCAATTATAATTTTTATCATACATTGATAACATTTCAGTCCACTGACCGGAACACATTCCTAATTTGCCGCTTTTTTATTTATTGGTTAGATGGGTGGACGAGCTCACAGCCCACCTGGTGTTAAGTGGTTACTAGAGCCTATAGATATCTACAACGTAAATGCGCCACCCACCCTGAGATATGAGTTCTAAGGTCTCAGTATAGTTACAACAGCTGCCCTACTCTTCAAACCGAAACGCATTACTGCTTCACGGCAGAAATAGGCGGGGTGGTAGTACCTACCCGTGCGGACTCACAAGAGGTCCTATCACCAGTAATTACACAAATTAAAATACGCTTTAATACGCTTCTTCCTACTTCGGTGTTACATATCCGTGCAATCTTACAAATGCACTTAAATTGACTGAGTTGAATTTAAGTCGATTCTAATATACTGAGGTGTATCGGTAACGGTAATTTGTCGTTGCGATTCTTTTGGAATTTAATAAAAAAAAACAGGATATATTCAAGCTAACTTTTGCGGTTCAAGGTTACGCGCCGACCAGTTTCAATGGCTAGCGTTAGAATCAAGGATATGTATCTGGATACAATGAATAAAACAACATATTTTGATTCACTCTACATTTCTTTATTTAATCATAAAAAAATACTAATGAGTTATTCAGATGATTATCAGTGAAACTAATTATTAGTAATCCTGTGATTAAGTAAGTTAAGAATTCACAATACGATCCTCCCGACCCATTAACGGTGCTTTTAGGTACCTCAAGCACCGGTCACCCTCGCCGAGCCCTCGACTAAACTAACCCATAGACACAGCCCACTGAGTTTATTGGCGGATCTTCTCAGTGGATCATGTTTCCGATCCGGTGGTAGATCCTGCGAAGTACTGCTCTTGCTAGGGCCAGTGTTAGCAACACTCCCGGCTTGAGCCCCGTGAGCTCACCTACTCGCCTGGTTACGCTGACATAGCCTCTCAAGGCTATTATAAGCTTAAGTACAAAAAGAAAAAAAAGTGGACTTTACCACATTAATCAACAGTTACTTGATCATTCCAAACAATTTGATTAGGTTCGATAGTCACGTCGGTTTCTGGACTGGAAGGATCGACATGTACGACCACACGACCATGGAGCAGGGCTCGTGGGGAACCGACTTCAGGAGAGGTAAATCATAAGCACGTTAATGATTGATGATTATTAAACAGTAGTTGGGTTTTTTTTTATTGCTTAGATGGATCCTACCGTATCTCTTGTTACTTTGCTGAGCTCTCTTGTCCCAGCCGGTGTTAAGTGGTTACCGGAGCCCATAGACTTCTAAAATGTAAATGCCGCCACCCACCTTGAGATATAAGTTCTAAGGTCTCAGTAGTATTATATTATATCAGTATATTACAACGGCTGTCCCACCCTTCAAACCGAAACGTATTACTGCTTCACGGCAGAAATAGGCAGGATGGTGGTACCTCCCTGTGCGGACTCACAAGAGGTCCTAACATCAGTGGTGGGCTGTTCTACCTCGGTAAGGACTGTATTTTAAGGTGGTGTACAGAACTATTTAATTTCAGTATTTCAGTTCACCTCGAGGTCTGAGATTGAAGTCTCAATGGTTTTGAAACGACGTGAGACCTAACCCATACGTCAGTCCACTGAGTTTCTCGTCGGATCTCGTCAGCGCGTCAGCGCGTTTCTGATCCGGTAGTAGATGCATTCGGGAAACAGCTGCCCTTGAGCTCTCCTTCGGAGGCAGATGTACGCTATATACATATGCATATGTATATAAGGCAGGTGCCTGTTTTATTTGGATAACTTGATTTACCTTCAGGTTTCGAGGTAGCTCACGATTTGTTCGGTGTCTACGCCACAGATGTCTACACCGACGAAGCTATTAAAGTGAGTATATTTGCTCATTGGATAATAGTGTCTTTAATGCAGCTATTCGCGAAACATTAAGACAAACTGTTCTACAGAGCTGCTACACCAGACTGCCCAAGCTTTTGCGTAAGATAAACGATTGTGTGTGTTTTTTTTATTGCTTGGATGGGACGAGCTCACAGCCCACCTGGTGTTAAGTGGTTACTGGAGCCCATAGACATCCACAACGTAAATGCGCCACCCACCTTGAGATATAAGTTCTAAGGTCCCAAGTATAGTTAGATAAAACGGCTGCCCTACCTTTCAAACCGAAACGCATTACTGCTTCACGGCAGAAATAGGCAGGGTGGTGGTACCTACCCACGCGGACTTCAAGAGGTCCTACCACCACTAATTACACAAATTATAATTTTGTGGGTTTCGTTTTTATTACACGATGCTATTCCTTCACCGTGGAAATCAATCGTGAACATTTGTTGAGTACGTATTAGAAAAATTGGTACTAGCCTGCGGGATTCGAACACCGTTGCATCGCTAGATACGAATGCACCGGACGTCTTATCCCTTAGGCCACGACGACTTTAAACGAAATGGTTAGGTTTGGTTAGTAGGCTACAGCAAAGCCTGGGACACCACCAAGCCAACAGATACTCTGAGGATCGCCATTTAAATGTCATTTAATGATGACCATGTCATAGCGCTTTAGGAGTATTAAGGTTTGAACTTTCTTCGAATCCAGAGACTGTTGGTTACATCGCAACGATTCCTGGCATGTACTGACGCTGTTATGCATAATTTTATACAAAATTTCATTTAAAAAATATCTGCTGTTTTTTTAAATACATATGTACCGCAAACCTACCTGCTTTTTCAGAAATTCTCTAGATAGGAACGTTTGTCTGAAAGAGATTGCTTACAGGGATAAGACCGTCTATTGTAAAGTAGTGTAATGTAATGACAATATTAATTGTGTTTTCTGAATATTATTTTTTTCTTTTTTTTCCTACCTAACCTGATAGCCTTGAGAGGCTATTTCAGCGTAACCTTAACTAGTAGGTGTGCTCACGGGGCTCAAACCGGAGTGATGCTAACACTGACCCTAGCAAGAGTAGTGCTTCGCAGAATCTACCACTGAGAAGATTCGGTTAGAAACTCAGTGGGCTGAATATTTATTATGTTTTCGTAGTCGCAAAAAGATGTAAATTGGTCGAATGCTATTCATGGATGGTAAATGTTTTTTGAAGGTGGTAAATTCTCACAATAAAAGCGAGCCCCTGTTCTTGATGGTGGCCCACTCGGCCGTGCACAGCGGCAACCCTTACGAACCGATCCGCGCCCCGCAGAAGCTGATAGACGCCTTCAAGTACATCGACGACTCTGCCAGGCAGAAATTTGCAGGTAATTTGAATTTATTTCATCATTGTTCAAGGTCTTCGTCAAACGTTTTTAGACAATGAAGGTTTTGGTCCTAATGTTGCAATGCAATGTATATAGGCAAATGGTAGGCAGCGGCTTGGCTCTGCCCCTGGCATTGCTGATGTCCATGAACAACGGTAACCGCTTACCATCAGGCGTGCCGTATGCTTGTCTGCCTGCAAAGGTAATAATTTTTTGGTTTTTTTTTTAAATGTGTTTAGCGCGATTTTCATTTTTCTCGAACATTTCTTTTTCTAACGTAACTGTCGCCACAAGTTTTTTTTGGTATTCAAAATCTGGATGTACCTTATTGTCAAATACTTAGCAAAGATCGCTTTTGGATACACACGGCTCGTATTACCCACGTATATTTAAAGTACCTACATTTATTATGAATATTTTATTTCTCAATGTAGGTTATCAGTATAACAATTCAATACACTGCATCGCGGCCATAGATAAACGAATTGCATTAAACGGAATTCAATTGTTATCAATAAATTAATATATGTAATCTACAATATGAAAATAAATTCCAATACCTAATTGGTATTGTTTTTTGCAATCAAATTTATATTAAAAAAATGTTTTTTCTGTATAATCATTAATAATCATTAAACACTTATTTATGTTATGTAACTTTGTATATTTAATTTACTTTATTCCGGTAATAAAATATTTATTTTTGAATCATCGTGGTTAGAAAACCGGTACATTCGTATCGAGTGATCCGAATCCCGCAGGCAATTTTTCTAATAAAATACGTACTTAATAAATGTTGACAATTTACCTTCACGGTGAAGGAATATCACCGTGCATAAATATGAAACCCTCAAAAATTTTATTTTGCATAATGCGGACTCACAAGAGGTCCTACCACCAGTGATTACGCAAATTATAATTTTGCAGGTTTGATTTTTATTACACGATGTTATTCCTTCACTGTGGAAGTCAATCGTGAACATTTGTTAAGTACGTATTTCATTAGAAAAATTGGTACCAGCCTGCTAGATTCGAACACCGGTGCATCGCTCACCACGAATACACCGGACGTCTTATCGTTTAGGCCACATCTACTTTCGATAGCTTCAATAAAAAGGCAGTTCTAATTAGCATCGCCAATTTTAATTTCAGCGGTTCTATCGAAACTGGACGAGTCCGTAGGCAAAGTGGTCAAGGCTCTGCACACGCAGGGCCTCTTGGAGAACTCAATAGTTGTCTTCAGTACGGATAACGGAGGTCCCGCCGCTGGTTTCAACGATAACGCAGCCTCTAACTACCCGCTCAAAGGAGTAAGTACGTATTTGATAATCAGTTCAAACTTTTGTACACATTTAATTTATAATATATGTCGGCGTTACGCCAGGGTTTTCACACATAGGATATTTTACAATGAAAATACAATTCTATAAAAGTTTAACATTAGTTGTTTATTACAAAAAGCTACGTCTTAGTTCTTACACAATTAGCCATTTTGTGTTGGTTATAGCAACTACAACTTCTTTTATACAAACAAATGTAATGACTGCGAAACAATTCACAAAATATGGCTTAATATTCACAATACATATTTTAGTGATTTTTACATGACTCTGACATTAATTTATTTTACATAAATTACTTTTAACTAATATAAACTAACATTGTTATTATCCAGCCTAATAATATATGGCGCCAACAACATCATTGTTCCACCTGATAGTTGTCTGGAAGAGATCGCTCTTAGCGATAAGACCGCCAATTGTACTTTTTTGTATTTAATGTTTTGCATTGCTTATTTTTTTGGTGTACAATAAATAATACTCTCCCTATCTCTCTCTTTCTCCCTGTTTTTTTTACAATATCGCGCTTCGATTCATGTTCATTAGAGCTCGCTGAAAGATTTGGTTTATGAATTTTCGTGGATAGTCGTATCAAAAATTGAGGCCTGTTTGAATTAGGATTACTTTGGTTTATTTTGATGCTCTCCTGGTATGAAGATATTTTGCGTTACGTATTTGAGAGAGAAGGGTTTTTTTCTTATGAATAAGATTAATCATTGAAGGCTGATTAATTTAGGCGAAAATCGCGAGCATGTTCAGGCTTCGATGAATACTTATAGCAGTAAGGCGGCTATGAGTTCGTTTACCGAACTATGGCGTGTGGCGGTAGCCATCATAGAACAAAAGATATATTTTCACAGATGCCTGAATCCTACCAAAGACAATTTCAAATTAACAAGTTCAGTTTGCTTAGTGAGAGTTTTAACTTCTTGTAAAAGTTATATAAATATAGATAAATTAAAGCATATAGAGCTACAATATTTGGACCGTCCCATCGGTCTACCGAGCAATCGCACCCAATAGAAAGGCCACCGAAATTATATATGTTACACTTACACAACAAAATATTCTTCAACACGAATGCACCGGACGTCTTATCTGTTAGGCCACGACGGCTGTTCGTTAGTCTCGCTAAAACTCGAGAACGGCTGGACCGATTTGGCTAATTTTGGTCTTGAATTATTTGTGGAAGTCCAGAGAAGGTTTAAAATGTATAATAAATATGAAAATGCTCGGAATTAAATAAAAATAACAATTTTGTTTTTCCTTTGACGTGTTCCCCGTCGGACGAATTCCTTTTGTTTGTTTTAAGTTTATTTTATACAATAGTTTAGGTCTTTGATTTATCGATTGAGGCATTACGAAGTCTGTCGGGCAGTAAGTGATTAAAAAAAATACATCGAAACATGAAGTTTCGTAAAAATAGGGGGCGGTTCATGGGTTTGGCACACAGGCGCTGTCGGGGGTCTACGCGAGCCTGGCTGGAAGATATTTCCTTTATCATTACTCCTAGAGTTACTTTTAAACAATTACTAATTATTACACCAACAATCCTTGGCTTAGAGACAAAAATATCGAAATGTAAGCCTGATTAAACAAAATCTCAACACCTAAATAAACACACGATCGTAAAACTTAACCTTTTTGTAAGTGAGTTTTGTAATGTTGGTAATGTTGACTTAACGTAGTACCTACATACTTGTAATAGTTTGTTCGTTATTTTCTCATAATAATTGTAAAATACAGTTATTAATATCAGTTATTTGATTTAATGTTCAATATCTGCTCATTTGTTTTGCTAATGGTGGACAGTTGCTTATTTATTTATTTATTTAATATATATTGTACACACAGCTGTTACAAGAAACACGACAATAAGGATACAGAGTACATTATTTTATTTTATTTATTTACTTATTTATTAGTTTATTTCGCATAAAAATTTCACACTATGTATGTATTTAATTTTATTTACAGTATTATTTAAATAAATAAATAAAAGGTGGAGTATAATATAATGCAATGTACAAAAAGTTGCTTTGGGTAAATTTAAAACTTATTCTGCTACTGTTACGAAATTAATCCTTTTTTCCAAAATGAAGTTTCACTGCAAGCCGTAGACTTTACTTTAAAAATCCTCTCTCTAGTTTTTTCCTATTAATAAAAAAATACTTACCAAATTAAGAACTTTGCGGTTATTTCAAAAGCTACGCGTCACGATAATCCTCTCATCGTGGTCCCCTCTGACTGCATATCCTTTTTTTTTTCTCCTACCTCTGCTGATAGCCTTGAGAGGCTGAAATAGCCTTCGGCCTAACATGTAGGTGAGCTCAAGGGGCTCAAACCGGAGTGTTGCTAACACTGGCCCTAGCAAGAGCAGCGCTTCGCAGATTCTACCACCGGATCGGACCCGCAGCCCATTGAGAAGATCCGACGAGAAACTCAGTGGGCTGTGTCTGTGGTTAATTCGCGGTGACCGGTGACCGGTGCTTGTGGTACCTAAAAGCACTGTTAATTACTACATATCCGAGTCAGGCTACGGGACCACGCAAAGCCGCAGTCACCCAAAACATGTCTTGTCAGATCCACTGTCGGTGCTTTTGATCCATTCCCGGTGCTTTTAGGCTTTTTTTATTGCTTATAGGGATGGACGAGCGCTAGGCCTACCTGGCGTTAAATGGTCACCGGAGCTCATAGAAATCTACAACGTAAATGCCGCCACGCACCTTGAGACGAGGGTTTTCAGGTCTTAGTTTATAACAGTACAACGGCTGTCCCACTCTTCAAATTGAAACGCATTACTGCTTCATGACAGAAATAGGCAGGGTGGTGGTACCTACCCGTGCGGACTCACAAGATGTCCTACCATCAGCACCGATCGCCGTTTTCGTCGAACAAGAGCTCGACACAACACAGCGAGTGTATTGCGGTATCATTTCAGCGGGTTGCGATTTTGATCCGACGGTAGACTCAGCGAAACACTGCTCTTTGTAGGGCTAGTGTTACCAAACTCTCTCAAGTAGACCAGCGCGAGCTTACGTACCCGTCCGAACGTAGCTGGAACACCCCCTTAGGCTACTAGCGATTAGGACAAAAAAATTCTGAATATATTATTGAAGCATAGTTGTAGTATAGTATTGTACATACCATACAACATTTTCATGTCATTCACGACATTTTCAAGATAAGCTTGCATATATACAAGTTTCGAACAACAACAATCGGACCGTCGGTCTACCGAGCAATTTATTACTCCGGGAAGTTCCGGCAAGAAACTCAGTGTGCTGTGTCTGTGGGTTAATTTACTCGCCGAATCTTCGTCGCGAGCGACGGGTTCGACGAGAACGATAACCGGTGCTTGAGGTACCTAAAAGCACCATTAGTGGATTGGGAGGATTAGAAATGATGTGTTTTGGGCAACGTCGACTGTTTACTGGTGGTAGGACCTCTTGTGGATCCGCACGGGTAGATACCACCACCCTGCCTATTTCTGCCGTGAAGCAGTAGTGCGTTTCGGTTTCAAATCAAATCAAATCAAAAAATTTTTATTCAACATAAATGAAAGTACATACTTGTTGAACGTCAAAAGAACTACCGCCAATTCACAAGAACTAGCCTCCGTCCTGAGAAGAATTGGCAAGAAACTCAGCGGGCATGTCTTTTTTTTTACATATAAAATTATTATTTATTTATTTTTTAATATTATTATTTTTTTAAATATGAATTTTTTACACTGAGTATTATAACGTAACAATTACTACAATATTGAAATGCCTGGAGCGAGCAACTCATTCCCACTTTGTGCAATCTTCTAGATAATCATNTCCAGTAACCACTTAATACCACCCATTTAAGCAATAAAAAAAAAACACCTGCTCGGTGGAAGATCTTCCGTTTTTCGTATATCTATCTTTTCGTATCTCTACATTACAACTGAACAAACCGCGGGATGTTTGAGAGTAAAACTTTAATTATTTACTGCTTAAGGTAAAGAACACATTATGGGAAGGCGGAGTCCGAGGGGCCGGGTTTCTGTGGAGCCCTCTACTGGACTCGAAGGCGCGAGTGGCGTACCAGAAAATGCATATATCGGATTGGCTACCCACCCTGTACAGTGCGGCGGGCGGTGACCTCAGGTATTCAGACTTGCATTGTTTTACTTCGCTCTCCTTTTTGATGCTACCCACCCTGTACAGTGCACCGGCGGTGACCTCAGGTATCCAGACTTGCATTGCTTTACTTCGCTCTCCTTTTTGATGCTACCCACCCTGTACAGTGCGGCGGGCGGTGACCTCAGGTATTCAGACTTGCATTGTTTTACTTCGCTCTCCTTTTTGATGCTACCCACCCTGTACAGTGCAGCGGGCGGAGACCTCAGGTATTCAGACTTGCATTCTTTTACTTCGCTCTCCTTTTTGATGCAACTTTAGCATGTTATGGTTTCACGAGTGTTCTCGTTTGGTAAATCTATACTAATATTATAAAGCTGAACAGTTTGTTTGTTTGAACGCGCTAATCTCAGGAACTACTGGTCCGATTTGAAAAATTCTGTCAGAGTTAGATAGCCCATTTATCGAGGAAGGCTATATGTAACATCACGCTAAGACCAATACAAGCAGAGCACCAATAAATAATATTTCAAAATCGGGTTTTTCCTCCCTTGGAAACCTTCCGCTGCGTGCGCTGCAGAAACGGTTAAAGTTTCGCTGAAATAATGTATGACAGAATTGTTCCCCTTTAAAAGATCTAAAAAAAGGTCCACGACAGCATATGTCTGTATGTTAAGGTTGGCTCACTCTATCGTTTTTTATGCTAACCAAATTTGTTCTAAAATAAAGCATTATTTGTGAACTATTCCATGCGGACGAAGTCGCGGGCAGAAGCTAGTGTATTGATAGTTGTGGTTGTAGCAACACCTTTTCGCTCGTTACAGACAGCGGTTGAACTCAACAATCCAGAAAAAGCGGCTCTATTCTATAGCCCTCTTATCGTGTTCACCCCTAACTACATACCCGACCGAAACGACCGGGCACCGGGAAAGTTTTTTGAAACATGATTGTTTTTGAGGACATAATATGATATCATAATCGCTTGAGGCTTCACAGTTACCTGTGGGCCTCAGCCTGATCCTGTAAATTTCTCTAGTTCGATTTATTCGTGGCTTTCGTTCCCCTATGAGTCTCATTCCCTTTTCATAAAAACGGCTTCGGTGCTCACGCATTAATATATTTGATGATCATTCCGCAGCGTCCTTGAGAACCTGGACGGTGTGAACCAGTGGTGCGCGTTGTCCAAAAACACAGAGTCTCCGCGCACCTCTGTATTGCACAATATCGATGACATCTGGGGTATTGCAGCTTTGACAGTTGATAAATACAAATTAATCAAAGGTAGGATTCGATGATTACTGGTTTCTTACACGTTTTTCTTAGTCTGGTAAGTAAGTATTTTTTGTTATTTTTGGCCCCTGGCATTGCTGAGGTCCATGGGCGACGGTAATCATTCACCATCAAGTATGCCGTACGATCGTATGCCTACAATAAAAATAAAATAAAAAAATCATTAATATAGTCTGTGGTAGACCGAAAGCCCGCCAAAACTAAAGCATATTAACCTACACTTTTAATATTCAAACTGTAAAATGTTGTATATTAGATTATTAATGCACGTTAAATAAAACTTTCATAGTTATGGGGAGATATACGACAAAGGGAAGAAAGATCTTCAACCGAGCGGGTGTTATCGCTCGATAGACCGACGGTCCGAATGTTGTCCTTCGGAACTTGTTTAAGCAAGCTTATCTTGAAAATGTCGTAAGCGAGATTCAGGCATCTAGTCAAAATACATCTCGTGTTCTGTGATGGCTAGCTACCGCCACATAATTATTGATTTGCTTAACTAAACATCGACACGTACGTGGTATGTGGTATATAATCCGAAACCTACTATAAAATACAGTACACACCATGCGTTTTATTGCTAAAGCCATGACAACGAATCTACTTACCTATTAGGCACTTTTTTATTAGGCACCATCTATAAAGGTGTTTGGGACAACTGGTACGGGCCAAGCGGGAGAGAAGGCGCTTACAATGCTAGTCTTTTATATGACAGCCACGCAGGAAGAGTACTTGACAAACTTAATCTTATGCCCCCCAAAGAAAAGGTCATGGAGCTAAGGTATGGAATAATGTCTCACGTACATACAGAACTATAAATTAGGTGTGTTATTGTTTCTACTCCAGTTAAGGGTAAACAGGCAAAAAGAGCACATAAACATAGATAATACACATAAATTAGTTATAGCAACTCAAGCACTCAACAAAAATGTTTACGGGCGTCAGCCACTAGATGGCTTCACTTCGATTAGTTTCTCATTGCTTCTGTTGATGACAGTAACAAATTACCTATCCTATATTTTATTTTTAATGAAGGATTTTCTAAATTTTCAGTAACCACTAATTGATAAAATTTAATCAATTTGTCTATAACAAATAAAGACTTGTATGATTTATAAATTATTTATTTTCTATGTTTACTTACACTTTAGCAACATATAAGTTTAGGGGCATCCGCTACAAGATCGATAGTTTCGATACAAAAAAATATTTGTCTTAAAGCATCACAGGTTAGGGGCCCATACAAAATAATATTAATACATCTATCTTATGCAATTTTTTTAAGTACCTTACTTCCACAAAGTCCTGTCTCGTACTGAGTAGCCCCAAGCAGGAAAAAACATAGGCTTCGCAAAGAGATAAGATGCAGTGTTTGTGGCGTATATTTCGAAAATGATCAAATGTTTTTTTTTTTTTAAAGAGAAAGTACTGAATTTTGAAGAAATATTTTGTTCGTATTTTTCGTGTATTATTTATTTGGATAATTGATTTCAGAGATGAAGCCACAGTGAAGTGCAACGACAGTATTGAAGTCATCCAGTGTAAGCCTCGAGAAGCGCCGTGCGTCTTCAATATCGACGAGGATCCGTGCGAGAGAAGGAACTTAGCGCAACTGTAAGAGTTCACTGAGCTTTGTGCTTCTGGAGCTTATTTTGAAAATAATTTCAAACACATTCTTTATTACACGCTTTATATTAGCTTCACTTTTATGTATATTCGTATGTTTGTAACTGACTCCTTTAGACGCGATTATGACCCTTATTAAAAATTTAACTAAAAAATGAAAAATAAATATTTAATAGTTTAAAAAAACTAAAAAACACGCTTTATATTATAAAATTCAACTAAAAAATTGAAAATAAATTTTAATAAATTTAAATTGAAAATATGTAGTGTAAAATATAGTTTATTGTAAAAAAAGTGTGGGGTGCATAGTTTGAATACACAACAATTCTAAAGAAGTTTCACTTCAAAATTTTAGGTTACCAGAAGTACTTGAGAGTCTTCTGAGCGAAATGCACAAGCTGAACGCGTCGGCCGTGACGCCCAACGCCCAACCGATAGACCCCCGCGGCGACCCGCAGTACTGGGGCAGGGTCTACACTAACTTCGGCAACTACGAAACGCAACACGGCTCGAGCGTTTGTCTGTGATGTTACATATATATATGAAGAACCTTACCATTGTCGGTATATTTACATATCGACGCTTGAAAGGCAAACGTGACTAAGCGACAATAACTGCTTTGTACATAAATGACAGGCAATAATCATATTCGATGCGCAATAAAAAAATATTTCTAGGTCTATGAAAATCATTTCAATCCTACAGCTAGATTCGTTAAAATAGAATTTTTTTCAGGTATTTCAACTTTAAATTAGTCTACTGTAAAGTTCACGCTTTGTCGCTTAGTCACGTTTGCCTTTCAAGCGTCGATATATATGAAGAACCTTACCATTGTCGGTATATTTACATTTATATATACACAAATTAACTTTATAAAATAAATAAATTAATAAAAGTTGTACATACGTAGTTTTACTTCGTAGTTTTTTTTTGTATTTCCTACTGTCTCCAGCAGAAGGACTAAAGTAGGTATTGGTAGATTGCATGAAATATGAAACGTGAGTGAGTAGGTATGCTCCGACGTGTGGTTGTGAAGAGACTAGAATAGTATATTGACATTACATACCATCACGATTTCTAAAGTATTTTTAATACCTTTGTAAATAATGAGCATACGGTGAATTTTGTGATGAGTGGTCACCGTCGCCCATGACTCCGGAAAGCTACCTTTTATAACTGAAGATATTCCTCACTTTCATAATACCAGTTTCAGTAAAAAAAAAATGCGCTTATTAGTCTATATATAGATTGAATTATTTATTCATATTAATATTGTGAAGATGCATGAATTATTGTTAAAAAAGGTAAGCGGAAAAAGATTGCTGAATATAGCTTCTCCGATTCATACAAATGTCTATTGAAGCAATAGTCCATTCCATATTGAAATAAGTATACATAATTAGTTAGCTGCTGGATATCTGATTAACGACCTCGTCGAAGCTCGAAGCCCCTCGGGGTTGATGGCCAAGGTAGACATTAGGTAAACCTAGCGATATAATAAAAACGAAAAAATTCAGTCAAAGTATGTAGGTAATTAAAACAAAAAAAAAATTAACTCTGAAACAAATTGGCGTATTGAAGAATAGAAGAATAAAATAGGGTACTTAAAAATAGCCTATTCATCTACTACACAAAAATTTAAAGAATTTCTTTTCTATTGCCCTTGTAGGCAGACGAGCTTACGGCTCACTTGATGGTGAGTGGTTACCGTCGCCCATGGACTTCAGCAATGCCAGGGGTAGAGCCAAGCAGCTGCCTACCGTATTTATTTGACTAAAATTTTACATTACTTACATAGTTCTAATTAATGTAATATGAAAATTAAGAGTCGGACAAATCGTTATCATCTTTTAGATCCTCTGATTGAAACGACCAATAAAACGCTTTCGGAACATAAAACTTTACTTCATCAGAAATAATGAACTAAATTGACAAACGAATAATGTATAAATATACAATCATTCGAAGTTTTTCTAATCTGCTCTAGATAAAGACACAAGTGAAAAAACAATTTTAACAACAATTTTAACTAAAAAACAAAACTAATTCCTTTTTATTGAAAAAAAAAAAAGAAAGAAATTTGGGAAGTTATTTAAGCCAATTTTGGCTTAGTTTTAATTAATTGTTCTCTTTGTCCGCTCTAGCCCTCTTAGTTTTGACGCCAGTTCTCTTAGCTTTATCTGTACTTTTTCTTTTAGTCGTGCGTTTCCCGATATTTGTCATATCCTGAATAGGATTATGATTTCCACTGAGAGGTAGCTCTTCCATATTGTCATTGAATAATATCGCATCCCTGTATTGCTTTTCTGTAGTCGAAGGTGCTTCGGCTTGAACCACTCTGCCCAATGAGGACGTATTTTGCAAGTTAATTTTTTCCAAAGGACTTAGGACGTCTCCCACCGGGTCGGATTGGCTCCCTTGAGACAATGTTTCGGCCAACAATCGTTCGACGATATTCGATTCATTCGTTTTAAAGAATTTGCTCATAACGTTTTTTAATTCATCTTTAATTATCTGCCGTGGTGTTGCCAAACTGAAAAAATAATAATAAGGTTTATGGTTTTTTCAATATTCATTTATAATATTTAAAAAAAACCAATGAATCTATCTATATATATAAAAATGAATTGCTGTTCGTTAGTCTCGCTAAAACTCAAGAACGGCTGGGCCGATTTGGCTAAGTTTGGTACTGAATTATTTGTGTTAGTCCAGAGAAGGTTTAAAGGGTAGATAAATATGAAAATGCACGGAACTAAATAAAAATAACAATTTTATTTTTCCTTAGATGTGTCCCCCGTCGGACTAATTCCTTTTGTTTGTTTTAAATTTATTTTATACAAAAGTTTAGGTCTTTTATTTATCGATTGAGGGACTACGTAGTCTGCCGGGTCAGCTAGTTAATTACTATATGAACATTTAGTGTGTAATTAAAGGTCTCACTCAGTTCCCGGGTCTTCTATAACGCCATGCGAGTGCAGGAGCTTCATGAGTTTAAGCGCGTTGAGTGGCGACAGCTGGAAGCGGTCCGCCAGCTCCCCGGCGCGCAGCTGTGAGGCGCGCCCGCACCAGCTCAGCGCGCGACGGAAGATGCACAGACACTGCGGGGCATCATGATAGTCTAGTCAGATTTATGTTTTGCCTTTTTTGGAACGAAGTTCCTTATGGGACGATGCGGAGGGGTACCCTAACCGGGAAAAAACGTCCGTAACGTAAGATTTTTATTAGTAATGCACGCAGTGTACGACTTAACTTTCTAATAACGTACAAAAAATAACATTTTTTTTATCATTCATTGACCACGATCTCAGAGCGTTCGTTTGCGCAATACTCTAACTCTTATGCAAACAACCGTGAATAAAATGTACCACAATAAGTTCGCCGTTGCCGAATGACCGTGAGTTGTTGCGAAACCTCCAGTTTTATTTTCTTTATACCTCGAATAGAACTTTAAATAAATATTTTTACAATAAAGAACGTCGTTCCTATCCGGTGTCCCACGACACCAAATATCTTTTTTTTATTGCTTAGATGTTTGGACAAACCGACCTGGTGTTAAATAGTTACTGGAGCCCATAGACATCTACGACGTAAATCCGCCACCCACCTTAAGATATAAGTTCTAAGGTCTCAGTCTAGTCACAACGGCTGTCCCGCCATTTAAACAGAAACGCTTTACTGCTTCACGGCAGAAATAGGCGGGGTGGTGGTATCTACCCGTGCGGACTCACAAAAGGTTCTACCACCAGTGATTACGCAAATTATAATTTAGCGGGTTTGATTTTTATAACACGATGTTACTCCTTCACCGTGGAAGTCAATCGTGAATATTTGTTAAGTGTGTACGTATTTCATTAAAACTATTGGTACCCGCCTGCGGGATTCGAACACCGGTGCATCGTTACATACGAATGCACCGGACGTCTTATCCTTTAGGCCACGACGACTTCAACTTTAACAACGTGCTCGAAGGAATTGTTTGAGATAATACAATCATCTCGTTTTTACCATAGCACCGTCCGCCACCGCAGTAGAGTTCATCCATACTACCTGGAGCCACTGCGGTCATCCACAGTGCGTTTCCAGAGATCTTTTCTGTCACGTACCATCCGACTTTGGAATGAGCTCCCCTCCACGGTGTTTCCCGAGCACTATGACATGTCCTTCTTCAAACGAGGCTTATGGAGAGTATTAAGCGGTAGGCAGCGGCTTGGCTCTGCCCCTGGCATTGCTGAAGTCCATGGGCGACGGTAACCACTCACCATCAGGTGAGCCGTATGCTTTGTCTAGTTCAAAAACTGAATTGATTAGAATGATTGACAGCGGCGACCAGCATACTTGTAGGTTAGTTACGTTTATAAAAAATATCAAGGGCATCCATCGTCCACGTTAATGATAGGTTAGTAGTGTAATTGTTTAATTTTATATTGTGAATAAAATTATTTTCTTACATTATATTAAGTTAGATTAGTTTTCGTTGTTGTATAATTGTAAGGAACGTTGTTGTATGAATTCAGCACTATATCTTGTTTTGTCGTCCGCACATAACTTATTATGTTGCAAGCCAGATTTATTTCTTTTTACTTGTGTGTTTTTATGTATCTTTTTAGCTTGTGATGTGTATTGTGAGCCTAAATAAATAAATACTGGTTGTGTGGCTGGGAGCGTCCCACCTCTCTCTTCTTGGCGGTGAGGTCAGCCAGGGCGGCGTCGGTGGGGCTCCTGGCGGCATCCCGGTCCCCGCAGTCCGCGCAGCAGTGGCGGGGCAGGCGGGGCGCGGCCTCCTCCCGCACGCCGAAGCAAGCCGCGTGCTGAGACTTCTTGCAGTAGCTGCGTGAACATCCAGTTCATTTAGTACCTAAGTCTTGCATTTTAGTTTGCTCTCGAATCTTAAGTCATTTAATTCAAAGTGTTTATGACGACGCTTGTAGCTGAAAGTAAGTATTTTACTTTTTGACGAATCATGTTGCTGATAACTCTATTTCTGTAATCTGACATATACACAATAATAACATGTACTTTTAGGTTATTAAAATAATATTTTGTGTATTAATAAAAATGTTAGTGTGCTTATAGAATTTAAAGTGTTCAATTTCATTCGTTTAGTGACCACTTAGAGACGGATGAGGATAACTAAGTAACTGGGTTCAGAGGCCGGCGACCCCAGCGCCTACTCATGTTATTCAGTGAATTTTTACCGGTGGTAGGACCTCTTGTGAGTCTGCACGGGTAGATAACTCCACCCCGCCTGTTTCTGCCGTGAAGCAGTGATGCGTTTCAGTTTGAGAGGTAGGGCAACCGTTGTAACTATACTTGAGACCTTAGAACTTATATCTCAAGGTGGGTGGCGCATTTACGTTATAAACGTCTATGGGCTCCACTAACTACTTAACACCGGGTGGGCTGTGAGCTCGTCCACCCATCTAAGCAATAAAAAAAAGTCTTGTATTTTATTTTGGTCTCGAATCTTAAACCATTTAGTTTAAAGTTTCATCCGTTTAGTGAACACTTAGAGACGTATGGGGATAACTAAGTAACTGAGTTCAAAGGCCGACGAACCCAGCCCCCACTCATCATGTTATTCAGTCAATTAAGCACACTACCTTTACTTAAATTTACTTAAAATAGTGATCGCCATATTTATACCAGAGTGCTCAACTTTAGGGTAGGTAGCTATCAAACCTATAATATGAGAGATCCGTGGGCCACAGGGAGATCATGTGCGTACTACGTATAAACACTACTGGCCGTAGAAGATCTTGTGAGCCTGCACCGGTAGGCACTCAACCTATTTCAGCCGTGAAGCGTGCCCTTCGGTTTGAAGAGTGAGACAACCGCTATACTATTAAATTTGAAACTCAGAACTCATGTCTTAAGATAGGGACACTATTGACGTAGTTGATGTCTAGGGGCTTCGGTGACTACTTAACAGCAGAGGGGTTGTGAACTCGTTCAACCATCCTCGTAATAAAAAACAGATAAAGTTATATCAACTGCCGAGCCAAGCATCAACACTTGTCGTTATGGGAATAACATGTTTACAGTAGATTGGGGGGAATACAGACTAGAGTTAGAACAGGGCCAAATCTGGGATGTCACAATACTTTTGTTGAAAGAAAATGACTTTTATTTAGTGTTTAATAATATTTAATAGTTTTTTTTTTATTTATTTTTTATTGCCTTTGTAGGCAGACGGGCATACGGCCCACCTGATGGTGAGTGGTTACCGTCGCCCATGGACTTCAGCAATGCCAGGGGCAGAGCCAGGCCGCTGCCTACAAAATTAATTTAGTTAATTTAGTTTAATTTAGTTCAAAGTTTTGTAACTCATTAAAGGTATTAAAAAGTTAATCACCTAAAGTTTTACCTACCTAACAACTAAATAGTGCCAGCCCTATCGAAAAACTCTATGTTCCCATTCGTAACCTGATTCACCCCAAAGCCGAGGTGAATCGGGCCAAGCTAGTTTTTTCAGATTCTGTGTATATTTTGTAATATGCTATGTATAACAACGCATCGTATAAAAAAATTTAAGCCTCCAGAACCATTTTAACCTCAAATATATTGGTATTATTACCCTAACAAAAACCATAGAAAAATTGTGTTGGATTTGAAATGGGTTCCGAGTCCCCCCAGTTTACGGTATTAAATAAACAGTCAATATAAACAAGAGCTGTCTTCCTCGTCTCCGGTCGCGCGGGGGCGTTGAACCCAGTGTTCGGTAGTTTTGCATTGTGTGGGTACTTGGAAACATTTGTTTTAACCAATGTTGTCGTTCTGGCATTCACCAGCGGACTAGGCTAGAACAGCTGCTGGTGCGAGGGGAGGTGGCACTTACCCGCAGGTGAGCAGTGCCGCATCCTCGGCGTCTTGCTTATTGCACGGGCATCGAACCTGCGCTTCCGAATCCGTCCCCGTGCTGTGTTGCTCCGATCCTAAAGTAGAGATATAGTTGGAGAACATTTTATCCGGGATTATCCTAATTACAGAAATACACTTATTTATACAATTTCAGATTGCTAGTCTTAAAGAAAACATTCTATCAGTTTGCAATTGCCAATACAAGTAGATGCCACTGAAATTACAAAAATATTAATTAAAGATAATATCAAAATAATCAAAGACAATAAGCTTACCGAAATCGTCTTCTTCATTTTGCGTCATCACCGGTGCGTGCTGCGAGGGCTGCAGAGCAATGGATGTAGTTTTTTTTTTTAATTTAATTTACATTGTTTATGAACATTCTGATATTCAATTCAGGCTGGGGATTTATTAACTACAACAATGAGTTAATTGTGCTCAAAGGAACAAGATTTAGTTTTAGTGATTCAGCAACTACAAGCTATTAATACAAGTCTTTAGGTAAACGTCAAGTGGGCAGCCCACTCACGAGAGCCTCTCGACTGGACAGCATAGACTCCTTCATGTAGCTGCGGGTCACGAGCCGGTGGTAGGGGGTCTCGACGGAGCCGAGCTTCACCGCGTCGCCATACGACGGGGCCAGGTGGTCTTCCGACTCCAACGTAGAGAGAAACCCCGGGGCTTGGTAACCCTCGGGAGTCTCTAATTAAATTAAAATTATTTTTGAATAAATACATAACATAATCCTTACATAGCTTCTGAACTTTACGTCTTCGCTAAGCGATAAAAAAATCATTCTTTAAACTAATCTAAAAAATGACGTTTTAACGTTTATATGGGCGGACGAACTCATGACCCACAAGATTTTAAGTGGTTACGTTAGCCATCTACAACGTAAGTGCCGCCATCCACCTTGAGATATGAGTTATAAGGTCTACGGTTTTACAATACAACGGCTGTCCCACCCTTCAAACCCAAAACGCATTACTGCTTGACGGCTGAAATAAGCAGGGTGGTAGTACTTACTCGTGNTTTTAACGTTTATATGGGCGGACGAACTCATGACCCACAAGATTTTAAGTGGTTACGTTAGCCATCTACAACGTAAGTGCCGCCATCCACCTTGAGATATGAGTTATAAGGTCTACGGTTTTACAATACAACGGCTGTCCCACCCTTCAAACCCAAAACGCATTACTGCTTGACGGCTGAAATAAGCAGGGTGGTAGTACTTACTCGTGCGAACACACAAGACGTCCTACCACCAGTAAAAATAAATTGAGAACAAATTCTGGAATTAACTCAAGGGTTTTAAATAAGAATCCTTAATTGATAATTACTCGTAAAATGATAAATGTTTTATTGGAAGTTCAGTTAGAAAATTGCCCAAAAAACAGTTATTAAACACCCACCATCATTATAATACAGTCTCAAGCTGACGTCATAGGTCGAGGGCAGCTCGTTCTGACACGCTTGCATTATGACCACACAAGCCCTAATCAAGTGTATGGTTCTCTCTCTGACGTTATCGAAGGAATATCTGGTGGAACGTCTAACGCTGTCCCGGCTTGTGGAGTGCACGTCCATGGTCACCCCGTCAGGGTTGTAAGAGTACTCGAAAACGTGATATTCTATGAGATTTTCTACTTTACATTCGCCTTCGTAAAAACACAATGCCAGTTGATGAAGCTGTGGATATAGAGTATTAAAGTAATTTAACGGATAAGTTTTCGCAAATTAATTTGACAGCTCGTAGACGATAGAAATAGTGTGTGCAAAAATTTTTATTTTTTTATTGCCCGTGTAGGCATACGGCCCACCTGATGGTGAGTGGTTACCGTCGCCCATGAACTTCAGCAATGCCAGGGTCAGAGCCAAGCCGCTGTCTAACACTTAATACTCTCCACAAGCCTCGTTTGAAGAAGGACATGTCATAACGCTCGGGAAACACCGTGGAGGGGAGTTTAATTTTGCTATTTCTGGTCTGCAAGACACGCATTACATTTTTTCCCTACCTATTCACTGGTAGCCTGAAGGGCTCTTCCAGTAACGGCCGCACGAGTAGGTGAGCTAATGGGCTCAACCTAAGACAGCTTGTTAACACTAGCCCTAGCAAGAGCCGTGCTTTGCAGAGTCTACCACCGAATCGGAATCACGACCCACTGAGAAGATCCGGCGAGAAACTCAGTGGGCAGTGTCTATGGGTTAGTTCGCTCATCGAGAGTCACGTGACGGTGACGCTTACTTGAGGGTTCTAAAAGCACCGAGAGTGAATCCCGGGGATCCGACGAGACATGTTTCGGACGATAGCAGCTTTGCGTTGCCCCGTCCAGGTCGGATAAGGCGCATTACATTGTAACCAGAACGCGACATGCTATGAATGTAGTGAAGATAGTACAGCGAGATTAACGAGAAGGGTTCAGTATATTAAATTACGGTTAAATAAGTGATATATCAAACTACATAGTGAACTTAACAAATTAACAGAAAATATATAAAATTTTGTCTTAATTCAACAAGTTTTACTATCGATGCTATTGCGAAAACATAGGAAATCTACCGCCCACACCCTATAATGAATTGTTCGAGATGATACCAACGTCTCGTTTTTACCATCGCACCGCCCGCCACCGGAGTAGAGTTCATCCATACTACCTGGAGCCACTGCGGTCATCCACAGTGCGTTTCCAGAGATCTTTTTTGCCACCATCCGGCTATGGAATGAGCTCCCCTCCACGGTGTTTCCCGAGCGCTATGACATGTCCTTCTTCAAACGAGGCTTGTGGAGAGTATTAAGCGGTAGGGAGCGGCTTGTCTCTGCCTTTGGCATTGCTGAAGTCCATGGGCGACGGTAACCACTCACCATCAGGTGGGCCGTATGCTCGTCTGTCTAGAAAGGCAATAAAAAAAAAATTAAAAAAAAATGTAACTCCGATTACGTTAGCTGTGGGAGCGTTGGTACTTGAGGATCGTGTGTCTTTACAACGAATTGGATTTCAAACATATCCGTAAGTATATGAAGACAACTTCGGATGGCTTCCCCATCACAGCAACATAACACTACAATCCTCCGAAAGCATCCAACTACTTTGGACGCTCTAGACACGTCATCACGTATCATTCCCATAATTATTTCCGTTATAATCCAGTTTCGATGCTGTTGGTTCTATCGCTCTCTTCAACCCGTCACGGTTCTCTCGTCAACCCACTCAGTGTCTCACCGAATATTCTAACCGGATTAAGATTCCCTTTCAGTGGTATATTCATTCAGGAAGCAGTTATCCCACCCCATTGTGAGCAAGCTTCCCTCTCCAAGTTAAGTCCTCGAACTCGCTCACTATAATATTATCATATAATTTATATTAATTTAAAGGAAGAAATAAAATACTTACGTATTTCTTATCAAAAGCTTCGAAAGCCTGCGTTAAAGCTGTACTAACGAACTGGGCCAGATCATCACTACACTTGTTCTTCAAGACCCTCAACTTGATACCACCAAAGGTTTCCTGCGTGTAACTGTCTTCAGGAAAGACATTCTTCAAGTACGTGACGGTACTGACCGCTATGACAGTCAGCTGTTTCATAAAGGTCACTGAACTCGTATACGTTTCAGTTACCGTGCGAGGGAATAATTTGACCCATTCGGTTACCGCCTGATGATTTATTTATTAATTATAATTAAATTTCAAAGAATAGTGTGTTTTAGTGTTTTTTAACTTAATTATTGTTGTAAATTGCCATGGGCAACAATGACTACCTACCATTATGCTATATCACCATATTCACAGCTCGCAAATCATATCGTCAGGTATGAGCGGACACGGATATATATGCGATGTGTTGCAATTTGAATAATACAACAGACATCTTACAAATGCACCTGAGACTTTATATTTTTCAATAACGCGTTTCGGTTTGAAGGGTGGGGCAGCTGTTGTAACTTCACCCGGTCATCGCCGGATCTTCTCAGTGGGTCGCGTTTCCGATCCGGTGGTAGATTCTGCGAAGCACGGCTCTTGCTAGGGTTCGTGTTAGCAACGTCGTCAGGTTTGAACCCCGTGAGCTCACCTACTAGTTAAGGTTACGCTGAAATAGCCTCTCAAGGCTATCAGCTTAGGTAGGAAAAAAAAAGCTCGCAAACTCGTCAGCCATTTTAAATATGGATTTGCCGGTGCGTTGCGTCTAGTCTATTTTGACAAGATGCATGCACACCATTGCTCGTAATCTGCAGTCTATGTCGAGACATGAAACATATCTATCATACAGGACTAAAAATAAAATGTAATCAAGACCTAGTAAGAATTTAATGTGCATAATAAGAATTCCGTAGTTGACATCGACAAGCAAATGTGACATTCTGAGACTACCTTAATTTGAACAAATATTCGCACCACCGAAATATTCGAAATACATTATCGAGATTAAAGTATACATATAATAACAATTAGTAGCCTCACGGCCCATCTAGTGCTAAGTAGTTACCGGAGCTCATATATATTACAACATAATGCCACCACCCATCTCGAGAGATGATATCGTAGTTTCGATAGTATTGAATAACTGCTTCACATTTCAAATCGGAACACGTGACTCCTTCGGGGCAGAAATAGGCAAGATGTTATTTCTTCATCGTGAAATTTGTTCCTGAAGTAAATCCGTATTTTCTATACCGGAATAGTTATCTACATCGCTTGATACACATAGCATTTTACTCTTTAGGCCACGGCAACTTTACGTAAGTATTATATACGACTAAATTATTATGTACTTTCACAATATTATATATTTTAAATATACACAAAAGACAAACCTGAGACTGCAATGTGGCCGTAGCTGACATTTTTAAAACAATGCTGTTGTATAATGTTCACGCGTATCTACACTGAAATCACTTTAACCGCATTACCTACGTATTTTGTTTTCCCGCCATTACCTTACTTTTTTTAAGCGAGTTTATGACCTGGTTACTAAGACCTTTAAGTCATGTCTTATGACTTAAATTCATATTCTTATTTTTTGAAAAATGATAATATGGAGGATATTAAACAGTTAATAAACCACCATTATTACATATTGAAACCTGAAGAAACACTAAATAGACAAAATAAAGCAAATCACACAACTTCCCTCCTCGCGTTTCCGCCAAATATCTTAGGCTCACCTTACCTTACATTTTCAAGCGTGCTGCCACAGATAAATTTGCGATTGAAACCAAAAAGTTTTATTAATAATATTTCAAAACTATATAGTTTCGGTTTTTGAATTTAAAACAAAATACAACAATAAACACGAATGACAACTGGTGACAAAATACACAAATAATTTTGGATTTATTGAATTGTGAAAAAATTAAGAACTGAAAAAAAAAAACCGGAAATGTTGTGCCCAGAAGGCTCTCAGCCTGAAAATGATACGTTATCCAAAAGCAATGATATCTGCCAAAAGAAACCAAACAAAGTTCCTGCTGAAGGAACAGACAGCTTGGAACTAACTTCCTATAAAAATCCTAAGACATGGAAGAGATCGATTTCTAATTTCTTCAGAAATCAACTACGTTCAACTAAATCCAATGAGGTAAGCATTTGCATTAATACAATCTGTTACGATATTTTTGCCGTTGCTAAAAAAAATATTTTTCAGGGTGATCGGCCTTCAGGCAGTAAAGATAATTTTGAAGAAAAAGAGATCACTCCTGACCAAAAGTGGCAATCTTTGGGGAAAGTATTTCGTCGTCAAAGCTTTGCCGAAACGTGGAACAAGTCTCCTAAATCGCCAGGAGAAAATTCATCTCACAGTAAAAGGCTAGCGGTAAAAAAGGTCATTTCATCTTACTTTGGCAAAAGTCAAAAAGTTACGTCGGCGGATGGTGAAAAATAAACATGTACACAAATAAAAATGTTATACAGATCGTGTTGTATTTTAAATCACTAAGTTCGTTATTTGTAAATTTCACTTAACTAAAACATAAAATGTATTAAAACAATTTGAAAACAAGTAATTTAAAATGATCGACATGAATCATGTATGAAAATTATTTACGTTCAAAATGTTTACTTTGTCAGATATATACGAATATTCTTATGCCTAAATTTAAATTCATATCTGAAACTTCTCTTTATACTACTCAATAGAACATACTACAGTTATAAGAACCAAGTAGTATGATTGTGGTCCTTGTTAATTCCATTGAGGAAGGTCCTTAACGCACTAAGAAAATGCTCAAAAACCACCTTTTGTGGATTTTATGTAATTCCAAAATTTAAAGTATCGAACAAAATAAATTTCTCAACCCTTAAAGATAATACTAAAAAAATTAAGATAATGACCAAGGCTATTTTACTATCTGATGAACTAACTGTATACAATCTTTCGTATAAGACCTTTTGTTGTATTCTTTGTATATTTTCTACGGTTTGAGTGAAAATAAGGGAAACATCCGATAGTAATAATTACATCAATCATAAAGCAATGTTAACACAAAATATATATCGTTTGGTACGAAGTGCTTTGTTATTGTCCATTAATTAAACGCTTGGAAATTAGGTTATAGCTCATTTCTAAAATTACCTAACACATTCATTTATAGTAAGATAAATTTTAAACGTTCAAACTAATTTGTATAGATAAAATAATATAGAAACAAAATTGGAAGTTCGTTCAAAAACCGATTGACATTCTGTTGACAACTTGTCAAGGCACAAATGGGCTACAAAATCACTAGACTGACATTTCTCCAGGCAACTCAAAGAACAGAATTCATTTTCAGCTTTTCGTGCTAAATAATTTAATTTACGACTTATTTTGTTTAATAACACATTTTCATGTTCGTTTATGCTTTTAATTACAACATTAGATTAACATTCGAGCCGTGCCAGTGTATTCAGTGTATACGCCCTTGAAAATCGTGTGTAAAAAATCTAAAGTCAGCATAGCAACAGTACTTAGATCCGTATAATTATTATATTATGGGATACCGCCGGGATTGTACATCACGGGTGCCTTTATGAGGTGAGTAGTGTGTGTTGTGGTCGATATAGGCGAGTCTAGTACAAGGAAAAAGCGTAAAATGAATAAAGAAATGTACCTTTGTGTTACATTGCCATATATACATATAAGTGCAAGGCTATATGTCACTTTAAGCCAGTCGAGAACACAATAATAAATTAGCGAATTGTAATCCTGTTGCCTATTTTTTCTATTTAAATTTCGATGTACAAAGCCGCAAACATTTTCCATCTTTTTTTTTTTTTCTTTATGCAATACCACTTGATATCTAACAGAAACCAAAACATGTGGTAATTCAATAACTTTACTTAAGTTTCCAACAACTTGGTTTTGTTTTCAGCAAAAATACCTAAATAGGTTATGAATCTCCTAATTCAACAAAACAAGCCATTTCTCTGATTCTTCTAAAGTTCTATCACCCATATCCCAATATCATATATCCCATATATCCCAATAGGAAGGTAGGGAAAAGCTTAGAGAGTAAGTTTAAAACTATATTTTGCCAAGCTTTTAACTCTCCAATGAACACACATCACATACTTTTAGCAAAGTGAAAAAAGGTGTTACTGAATACTAAGTTGCTGAAACTGCAAACCCTCACTCTAGAGACTGCTAATTATGAATTCATACTTTATGTCTAATGGTAACAATTTAGATGGGCTGTTAGCATGTACCTACAGCAATATCAATGAAAAAATAGTATGTGCACCATGAGAAAAAAATTAGGACAACTCATCCCGCGTGTTTGGCAACTTTACACGCGGGAGGAAGTGTCCTACTTTTCTCCCTTGGTGCACAATGTACTATTACTTAAAAAAAGTCTTCAAGGAATCTGTAACAGTCATAAAGAATTAAGATGTGTAATAAAAGAAAAAGAGTACAACATCCAAAAAGTTTAAAAAGTATCTGATATTCTAAGTAGATATTATAAAACAAATACACACAATAAAAACATTTAGTTAATATAAACATACAAAGATACTTAAATAAATAAATACACAAACTTTATATTAATATGGGCCTTTAGTACTTTGAAAGAATTTAAATCATACTCTTTTCTGGCAGTATAAGTTAAAACATTCAGAATTTATCAGTTTATTTCAAATGTTGAAATAACTTGGAATAATCTCTTTCAAAATACTCTTTCAAAACAATTACATTAAAATATAAATTATATTATGAAATGAAGAAAAAATAATTAAGTATTGTTTTCATTATTTCCAGATGGTTGATGAAAATGTACGGGCATTCAGAAGTGAACAAGAAAAAACACTGAATTAATATTTAAGGTATTGTAAGTTGCAAAAGTGGTGCTTTCTATTAGTGTAAGATGATAACTCGAAGATGGTTCCACCCCTCGCTGAATGGTGTGGACGCGGAAAAATTGCTCATGGAGTGCGGTCATGATGGGTATTTCCTGGCCAGGCCAAGTTCAAGTAATAAAGGAGATTTCACTCTCTCCGTCCGAAGAGGAAATGAGGTCACTCATATAAAAATTCAGAACAACGGCGAATTTCTCGATCTTTATGGAGGTGAAAAATTTGCTACCCTGTCAGAACTCGTCCAATATTATATGGACAATCAATGCCAGCTAAGAGAAAAAAATGGAAATATAATTAGGTTAAAAACGCCTCTCAACTGTGCAGATCCAACAACCGAACGATGGTACCACGGGCAGCTCACTGCCAAGGAAGCAGAGAGAATGATGATGGAAAACGGAAAAAACGGGTCGTTTCTCGTTCGCGAATCCCAAAGGCAACCTGGCGACTTCGTGTTGTCCGTTCGCACGAGAGATCGAGTTACACATGTGATAATTAGGCGAAAGGACAACAAATATGACGTAGGTGGGGGGCAACAGTTTGACGATCTCGTAAGTCTAATAGAATACTATCGTAGTTTTCCCATGGTCGAGACTACTGGTGAGGTACTAAGATTAATCCAACCCTTCAACGCTACACGTATACAGGTAAGACATTTTCACACGCGCGTAAAACAACTTCAAAAGGAAAACGAGGGACCCATCGAGAGCATGGCCTACAAACAAGGTTTCTGGGAGGAATTCGAAACGTTACAGATGATGGAGAACTTGCAGTTGTTCGACAGAATGGAGGGTTCGAAACCGGAGAATATTAGGAAAAACAGATACAAAAATATTATACCATTCGATCACACGCGTGTTATTTTAAAGGACATCCCCCCTGACGGTCCTCCGGGCTCAGATTACATCAATGCCAACTACATTCGATGTGACAGTATGGATTCCATTTCCGATTCCCAAGAATTCACAGGGAACGGCAGCACTGAAAACGGCAAAGACGGTACGCCGTCGAAAGCTAAAGATAAATCATCGCCTGTTCATACAAGCGTTATCGTAACTGAAGAGCCGGTCAAATCAAGTAAGAAGGTGCACGGCAACGGAACACACAAGCTGCCGGCGTTCGAACCGAGCGTTCTTCGTCCCAACCCGAATTATTTCAATACGACAATACCGAAATCAGCGACCGAAACCGAAAACGGTGTGCCCACTGTACACGTGTACAACAAAACGTACATAGCTACTCAAGGCTGTCTTTCGACAACAATATACCCGTTCTGGTCGATGATATGGCAAGAGGACGTCCGCATCATCATAATGACGACAAAGGAGATCGAGCGCGGGAAGGTCAAATGCGAAAGGTACTGGCCGGACCTAAACAAAACAGAGGTCGTCAAGAAGTACACGATACTTAACGAATTCGAATCCTCCACGCCGGATTATACGCTTCGACGGTTCCTTGTCACGAAAAAAGATGAGACTACAGTGAAGCGGACCATATATCATTTCCATTTCACGGCCTGGCCGGACCATCGTGTGCCCTCAGAGCCCGGTCGCGTGCTCAACATTCTGCTGGACGTGAACTACAGGCTACAGCAGATAATGACGGGGACCGATCCTCCGGCGCAGGCGGTCGTATGTGTTCATTGCTCGGCGGGTATAGGTCGGACGGGAACCTTCATAGTCATCGATATGATCTTGGACCAAATAAGAAAGGAAGGGTTCGACTGCGAGATCGACATACATCGCACTGTGCAGATGGTGCGCGACCAAAGGTCCGGTATGGTGCAGAACGAAGCTCAATATAAGTTTATCTACATGGCCGTGTTGGAGTTTATCGAAACGGAGAAGCAAAGGGTAGGTCTCGGGCCGGAGGCGGCACAGGACTCGCCGCGAGCCAGGTCTATGCCCGTACCATTTTTATGAATCGCCTTGAAAGTTCAAATTAAAATATCAAAAGCTTTATAAACGTCGGAATATCGTAGATGAATGTAAATAATAATATTTTAAATGCATCTATCTTGTAACTTGGTTAAAATTTCTCATCCAAATGTTCTATTATGTGTGATATAAAAATGATTTTGTCTAATTAAGTACCAATTTTCCATTTCTATTATGTCGATTACTTAATAGTATTGGGTAAAACGATAACACATAACCGTATAATTTCATGTTTTTACGCTGTTTTACAAGGAGCACACAGAAGACACACGTACCTAAGATGAAATGGATAAACTTCCAATAAAAAATTGTAAATTATTCCGTAAGATCGATATTGGTTTTCGTAACGTCAATTTACGAATAAAATTAAACTTTTACCTTTATGAGCAATTCATAAAATTTTGCCGAAAAAACATTACCTTTAAATTTTATTTTTTAAAAAGAAACATATTTGATGCTGGTATTTTACTTGGTGTAGCGTTTGGCAGTGATGGTATCGATTTTTTTGGGTTAAGGGGATATTGGTTGTTTGATGAATTTTGCTGCTTCACGAAGACGCTAGTCGACGCTGGAGAGCTCAGACGAGAAGTAGAAGGCTTGCTAAGATTCGCCCGACTACTTCGCTAGTGAATCTACCCTCGGAACGAAATCGCGACTAGATATGAAGGTCCGGCAAGAAACTCAGCGGCCTGATCCTATTTACACCGCACTTTTGAAACTCGCTGAAAATCGACCCATAATATAGCTGCACTAGCGTTGGAACTAGTCGCATCCAATACCACCGTAAGTGGATCCTCCAGGATGTGTCTAAGGCGTCGAAAGTGATTAGCTGCTGGTGCGCCGGGTCAAGGCTGTAGCTTGCGGCGACCACGATAAGGGGGTTATCGTGTTGCATCGTTGTCACCAAGAAAATTTCCGATATCTAACTACGCATGAATTTAAGATCTAGATCGTCGTCAAAACAACTCACGTACCATAGTGCTCCCACGGCTAACCTAAGTAAGGGAAATTCTTATGTTCGGAGGGAGTTTACGGGGTGTAAGCCGTGTGAGTGAACACTGCGTAATGCCGCGTGTGCAAGTTTTTTTTTAATCGCCGTATAGGCAGAGGAGCATACGGCCCACCTGGTGAGTGGTTACCGTCGCTCATGGACGTCAGCAATGCCAGGGGCATTGCTACACAAGCCTCGTTTGAAGAAGGGCATGTCATAGCGCTCGGGAAAAACCGTAGAGGGGAGCTCATTCCAAAGCCGGATGGTACGTGGCAAAAAAGGTCTCTGGAAGCGCACTGTTTTCTAAAGTGTCGCCGTATTACGAAGGACCAGCGGACAAGCGGAGGCTTGAAGATCATAGGGGTCCAGCCGAGGGAGAGTGCAGCGCGATTTCGGTCAGACTACGTGAACGATATCGCGTATTTGTACCAAATTTAACCGAATAACCCTCCAAATATCGCCATTTTAGGACAAATACACGTGTACGCTACGCCAAATGAACTTCCAGCATCAAATTTACATTTAAAACGTTAAACGCTATTTGATAAAAATCGAATATGAAATGTTCATTGACTGTCTTTTAAGATCTATGTCTTTTAAACTGTAAGACGAGGGGATAATCGTTGTTAGGCGAAGGTGGAAAATATTTTTTTCTCAAAAATCGACTTTGGCGACCTGAAAATGTATCAAATCGTTGCTTTAATTTAAAACTACACGGAAGTCAGGAGATTGACTTTTATGTGATCTCGAATTTGATTTTCACTAGACAGAATGTTTATATAATTATTTTTTGTTATAATAATTCTTTTTTCGACAAATCTGTATGTGCTTGCTGTGAAATTTTATTAAGAACAGTGTGTAATGTCATGTTTGCAACAAACGTTTGAATCTGACAATGTCGTGAGAGAGGTACATTGATTCTAAGGTATCTAAAGTTATCAGAATTGAATTGAGCTTAGGGTAAGTCCAGGGTAATCCCACAACTCCATTTGGCAATCGAAACTTTCACAGACCTAATCCTTCCAACGCTTTGGTCGGCCAGCGACTTTCGTCTTCGTTCACAAAAGCCACAGCTGACTTATAACGTCTATACTTCTAAATGACTCTATTATCTAATCCGTTAATACAGAGTTCTAGCGGTCAATTGCGTAACAGTAAATTCACACAACATAACAAACAACTCAAATTAACTAAGCGGCCCGGTCCATGCGCGAACTAAACCGTCCGAACCTAAGAAAACAACAAGTAACTTATGCTTAGTCAAGCAAATTAATGTTGTTTTTTGTTCATCTTAAACTCCCTTTTCGCCTACAGGAATAATTATCTTCGTATCGCCTTAAATCTCACACCTTTCAAATCAACAATGACTTTTCGTTAAACTTGGTCAAGAATCTGATGGACTATGCTATAGAGATTGCACATTTCTGTATTTAAAGTGGCCAGTTGTACACCGTTATTTTGTTTATTTAGCCGACAACTCTTTTTAAAATAATTACAACTGCTGTTACGTTTGTCTCATTCTCGTTATTAATATTTTCGGCGTTTTGGACACAGTAAAGTATGCTATATATATTTTTTTATTGCCGTATAGGCAGACAAGCATACGGCCCACCTGATGGTGAGTGGTTACCGTCGCTCATGGACGTGTCATAGTGCTCGGGAAACACCGTGGAGGGGAGCTCATTCCATATCCGGATGGTATGTGGCAAAAAAGATCTCTGGAAACGCACTGTGAAGGAACGCAGTGGCTCCAGTTAGTATGGATGAACTTACTCCGGTGGCGGGAAATTAAAACTGGTATTAAAACTGATGATTCTCTTAAAGTAGCCGTAACGAAATGCAAATGTTGCATATCGTTTCTAGGAAGTCTAAAATACTTGTCCGCTCCTTATCTGCGACTTGAGTGCAGATTGTGAGTTCATAGTACGGCTATCTACTCGTTAAGTGTAATACCTACTAGATGCTTCTCTAAATTGCATTTTAATATTTTAATTGGTTAGATAAATACGTAAAACGGCGCATTTGTAGTTTAATTGTCGAAATTTTTGGACATTTAAAAAAAATACCGGTGTATTCTTATCGAAAATGATGTTCCAGATACTTGCCAATGTAGGCATATCAATAAATACATAACATTTGTACGTAGTTTGATCATTATCATCTACTCGCACGGCGTCGCTGCTAGACATAGGTGTGCTTAGTGCGAGTTTTTTAACATTCTCTATAGTGTAAAAGTTAGCTCATATATTTGTATGGAATGGGATCGTTTGCGTGCGTTTGCCGCTAGGGGCGCTGTTCCAACTGCATACAAAATTGGGTTAACTTTTACGCGATCGAGAACGTTAAAAAACTCGCACTAAGTAGTTCACGATTTGTGTGACCGAGGCAATCAGCTTAACCCAGGCAATAAATAAAAAAAACATGTTTTTACTTTCCTTTGTAGTTCAGCTGATATTTTAGTGTAAGTATCCCGTCCTGTTCGTAAGCATAAGAAATAAAAGAAATTTGATATTTTTTATTTCAATAATATCATTGTACAATAACTTAAGAGTTTTCTCAGAACTCATTTCTCCTGACAGATTTTTTATAATACGATGCTATTAACATACTTTTATTGGAACTATTGTATGCATCGTGTAAGTAAACTTATTTTCTTGAAATTGTGGGATCTATCTTGGAACTACCCTATTACGACTAACTAAAAATTAATGTTCCCTCTCAATAATTACCCAGGCAAATGGCCTTGATTGTAAAAATTGAAAATGTGATTAGGTGTTTTTACTACTATCAAATTTAAGAACACTGATACATTCTTTGTTCGGTTGGTTGAAATAATGCCTCTTAAAAGTGGATGGAATAAGCATAAAATAAGGATAAAGTTATTATTATGTTGTTTATTTTTTATTATTCTTGTCAAATAGTGAATTGGAGGTGCTTTTTATCAGTGCGCCCGCGGTCAATTAAAAAGGCACGGGCTTATGGTGCGATATACTTTTTTAATAATGATTTTTATTTGTCTGTATGCGTAGTTTATACGAATAAAAGTATATGTATATTATTTTGATAAATAATGTCCAAGCAAATGTATTTTTTTGGCAAATCAAACATTTTTTTTAATAAATATTAGTCATGGGGCGTCACTCATAAACGCGGTGTTACGGCCTACGAGAAAATAATCATTTACATAATTGAGCGTTAAATTGACATTCACTGTCAAATATAAGTTACACGTACCTACCGTTTTCTAACGATTGTTGTTTAACGAAACTTCGTCATTTTCTTTAAAATAAACTTCATTAGAGCTTAAAATTAAAATTATGCAATTAAACCAGCCTAAAAGGCTACAAAATATCTTGACTTAGTCATCGTTAGGAATAATAATCAGGATAATGTAGATGTAGGTACGCTTCGCGACTGGCTAGTTACATTAAAGCATGAAGGTCATTTGAGAAACAATTTTTGATTCGCGAAGCAGCTGCTCTTGACTTGTCAGGTCTCATTCGGAGGTGCTCGGGCATATGTAAGCAAATCCCACCCATCCTGACTGAGCCTTTGCTCGGCCACCTGTCCTGGTGAAACTGGAAAGGCCTCCGGGCCACCAGTAATCCTTCAATCCTAAAAAAAGATGATTTTGTCTTAGTATGCCCACGGTCTCTGTAAAAGAATCTGAAGAAAGGTATTTCTGATATAATTTGCCACTGTGAGCCCTGAGCATGTCATTATGCGCTCCCCTGTGAACGAGGAGCAGCAACCTCTATACACAAAAAAAACATATCTAGCAGAAACTTGAACCGCGCTAATAATAATTCCGGTGGTGAAAGGTTATTTGATTTAAGCGAAATTTTGGCAGTTTTATAGAAAGGTCATTTAAAGTTCAAAATTTGAAAAAAAAAATAATAATTACAAAATGTAATAAACATAATTGAAGTAAGTACAATTAAAAACATCGAACTGTTGATGCTAATACCAAACAAAATATTATTTTATATAGCTTTTCGCCCCCCAATAAAAAATTGTTCTTTACGATTGAAAACCATCACAACCACGTAACAACTCTGCAACAGTACATTATGTTGAAAAAGAAAGATTCGAGTTTCATTCGATTCTAAACGTAACAACGGTGTGGGATGATTTAAAACTTTAATTTATTAACCAAATAATATAAATTGAGATTAGCTAGACTCCATCCGAATTCTCTACTAAAGATTGTAAAACAAAATATGTATGAAGAATGTGAGTCTCCAGTATCTTATATCGTATTAATATATTTTTAAATAAGCATTTGTTTGTAAGGCTAAAACATTTTTTTTTATAGTACAAGATAAATCGTCCATTCGATTAGGAATACATTCGGTCAACCACTGCACAGTAGCTGGCGTGAAAATTGAGGTCGTATAGATTCCGAGGCGTTAAACGTATGGGTCGGAGTGCTTAGTTGAACAAAGTTGTCTTAGATAGTTTTAATTTCGGCAAATTGGACTATTATATTCGAGTCTCGACGATATCAAAGAAGCTTCACAACAACAATGCTAGGATGTTCAATAAAATTGATTTCATAGGCTAATAATATCTCTACTAATGATCGTAACGAAGCAAAACCGGTCTTAAAGATAATCGTCCCGTTAATATCCTTCACAAGAAAATAAAGTATAGTACATAGAATGAAAAAATTGTTAATGTATTAAATATAATAAATTTAATATTCAATCGTCTGACCATTAAAACTGTAAAGTTTGGAAACGTATGAAATAAAATTAAAATAATGGACGATCTAGATTAAACGGTAAAAGTTGTTTTAACTCTTTGCACTCGAGAAGTGAAATTCGTTTTCGATTTAAATAGTCATAGTCATAGTGAAAACCGAAGAAAATATTATATCAACTGAATCTAAAGTTTGAGATCTCGAACAATGAAATATACAAAATCGAACGCATAATATGATTTTTTGTCTATGACAGTAATAATGTGTTTTAAAAGTTCAAATTTGAGATTTAAAAAAAAACATGCAATTGCTTGGACATGCTACAGATATTTTATATTGTTGGCATTTTATTTAAAAAAAAAAACTATTATTCCNTTTATATTGTTGGCATTTTATTTAAAAAAAAAAACTATTATTCCAATTTTTAAAAGCGGATCTAAAATATCGCACTGAATTAAAATAAATGAAGAGAAAAAA